CAGTCAGACCCATCCCAACGCCATTACGGGTCTTGTCGTTCTGTCACAAGGTAAGAGTTCCACTCGGCGTTTTTGTGAGTGAGTGAGTTTGGTTTACGACGCTTTTAGCAATATTCCAGCAATATCAAGGCGGGGGACACCAGAAATGGGCTTCACACATTGTACCCATGTCGGGAATCGAACCCGGGTCTTCGGCGTGACGAGCGAACGCTTTAACCACTAGGCTACCCGACCGCCCCAGCGTTTTTGTGATTTCCGTTTCTTACAAAGCGCCCAGTCGGGGACGACAGGACTTGACTTGCTTGGCTGAATATTCTTTCAATGGTATAATTTGACGACTTTATAGTCGTATAGTATAGCCGAGGGCCGCGACTGTGAAAACGTGAATTATATAAATAACCATATAACAGTGAACATAAAGTATACTCTTAGAAAATGTAGGGGTAGATAAGTGTTGACGACAAACATTCCATGCAAGAACGTTTATGATAAACTTGACACCAAAATACATCCTATAGTTTGCACGTTCCTCACGAAGTGGCGCCATACACGTGCGCTTCCTGATTTTGACATTTTCAAGGAAGATCGATTGACCTCCGTGGACCATTGTGTCTGTCAATCTTATTGATTCTGCCTATCCTACAGTTGTGATTTACTTGAATTCATTCATTGTTTATGTATGAGTGAGTGAGTTGTGTTTAACGCCGCTTTCAACAGTATACCAGTTACATCACGGCGTGTCAGCTTCATGTGGGAGGAAAGCCCGAAGTGCTGCAGGTCTCAGACGTTTACCTCTTCGGTGAAACCCACGAGCACGGGTATGGTGCTGACAAACCTAGTTACATAATCGGGGCGAACCGGGATTCGAACCCACATTCATAGGTTTCTGGCGTGCCCAAGGAACGCAACTCTGCACAGCGAATTGCGGCGCCTCAGGCGACTGGGCCACCCGTGCCCAATGTTTGTGTATGAACTAGCGATGCGGCGCTTGCAGAAGTACGAGGTACGGGTCAGACGGTTAGTAATCGTATACATGCACCTTATCTCCCTGTTAGGCGTGTTGTGTCGCCCCTTACAAATCGTCATTGCCAACAGACGTCAATGGTGCACACAACGTCGAAACTGGGGTAAATCGTCGCTGATCACGTGTCATGTTTTCAGATGAGTCCCGATTCACTTCACACTTCCTTGACAGGCGACGTCGAAATGAACGTCAAACCAATGTCAAATTGAGACCTCATGACAGATTTGGCGGTGGATAGGTTATGGTAGGGGGTGTCATCACTATGACTGAGCGAACCCCATTCCATATTGTGTCCGGAAGGGTCACTGGACAGTACTATCGGGCCAACATCCTGACAAACCTGTGTTGTCCTTTTGTTGTCCTTTTGTTGTCCCGACGTGTGGGTCGACGTTTTGTCTTTCAGGGCGAGAAAACTCATGCTCGCCGTGCACGAATCGTCAGCGCCCATCTCCAGCAGCACAGCATCCATAGAATGCCATGGCCAGCGATGAGTCCAGACCTTTCGCGGGGGAACAAGTCTTGTAGTCCGGTAATTAAAGGTTTTTTTTCACGAAGGCTCAACAAAATTGACGGAAAAGGTTTAGTAATGCATTTCAGTCCCTTGATAGGTCTTCTTTCAAGAACAAAATAGTTTACCAAAATTTGACTTTGGGAAACACCCAAAATAGGTCAAATCCAATATGGCCGCCATCAAAACAAGCGAAAATGGAAAAAGTCAAAAACATGGAATCGATCAAAATTTAAACATGGATGATGAGTCTGTTAATAATCATTGGTGTAATAGGAAGACGTGTACGTCAACGTCATAGGTCGCTGACCACGTTGACGCTGCGAGAGGAATGGGAAAGACTCCTTCAAATCGCAATTGAGAGACTGGTACGCAGTGTGCCTCGTCGAGTGGATAAATGTTTGCCAAATCGTAACGGTATCACACACTATTGATCCAAGAACGACAACATAGAAATTTCCTGTCTTAGCCCTATCGACCTTCAAGATCGTTGGCGGTCATAGCATCTGCCACACACCACATATACCACAGCGTTGGAAATACCTTCCTGCCCGAATGACGGGCTGTTTTCGTCTCGGGCAGTTAACTTTAAGAAATTGCACGCTCGGTGGTCGTGTTGGTTTTGAAAATGTGCATGTAAAAATATATGAATATAATACCCTCATATTTTTTATGATCGACGAATACAGATAAGCAACTCAGTTGCGGCTGCACGAAATCTTCTGCAACCAATGCCAGCATTTAGAAGAACGCAAGAAGCTTTTGCGTGTACCATTTAATATTTAACTCACTGTGATTTTATTATCATTTGCGAAGAGTTGGTGCTTTCAATTTACAAAAATAATATTGATTGTCATCATTCGAACTGGGCAGTTAAACCTATCAGATGTGACGAGGAATTCGATCATTTCTTCATTGAGAACAGTTGAACAGTTGGGCGCCCTTGTGGGTGAAGAAAATATCCTAGTATTTCTTCACGTCCCAAGAGCCGACCAATGGGAATCGGTCAGACTCTGTGACCTGCATGTCATCGCAACATTGTCGTGGATGGTTGCTAATTTTTGTTTGTTGTTTAACGCCGCTCTCGGGGACGTTGCTCGTGATTTCAGTTGCTTGTTATCCTGGTCCAGATTCGACTGTGGACACGCAGACGTGATATCCCGATTTACGGACTGCAACGTTATAAAGTCACTGAAACACTGTTTTCATATACCAGCATTCACTGAAACATTGTTATCATACACCAACATTCACAGAAACAACATCATACACAAACATTGACTGAAACACTGTTATCATACACCAACATTCACTGTAACAGTAATCATGCATCAGTATTCACTGAAACATTGTTATCATACACTAACACTTACTGAAACACTGTCTCACACCAACATTCACTGAAACATTGTTATCATACACCAACATTCACAGAAACAACATCTTACACAAACATTGACTGAAACACTGTTATCATACACCAACATTCACTGTAACAGTAATCATGCATCAGTATTCACGGAAACATTGTTATCATACACCAACACTTACTGAAACACTGTTTTCATATATACCAACATTTACTGAATCAGTTATCATACACCAACTTTCACAAAAAACATTATCATACACTAATATTCACTGAAACAGTCATCATGCATCAATATTCACTGAAACAGTGTTATCATACACCAACATTCACTGTAACAGTCATCATGCATCAATATTCACTGAAACAGTGTTATCATGCACTAACATTGACTGAAACACTGTTATCATACACCCACATTCATTGAATGAGTGTTATCATACACCAACATTCACAGAAACAACATCATACACTAACACTGACTGAAACACTGTTATCATACACCAACATTCACTGAAACATTGTCATCATACACCAACACGTACTGAAACACTGTTATCACACACCAACATTGACTGAAACACTGTGTAACACCAACATTCACTGAAACAGTTATCATATACCAACATTCACTGAAACAGTTATCATATACCAACATTCACTGAAACAGTGTTATCATACTGTGTATGATGATACACCAACATTCACTGAAACACTGTATTACGCCAACATTCATTGAAACACTGTTATCATACAGCAACATTCACTGAAACACTGTTTAACACCAACATTCACTGAAACATTGTTATCATACACCATTATTCACTGAAACAGTTTTCATACACCAACATTCACTGAAACACTGTTATCATACATTTACTGAAACACTGTTCAACACCAACATTCACTGAAACACTTATCATACACCAACATTTACTGAAACATTGATATCATACACCAACATTCATTGAAACACTGTTATCATACATTAACATTCACTGAAACACTCTTTAACACAAAAATTCACTGAAACACTGTTATCATACATTAACATTCACTGAAACACTGTTTAACGCAAGGACATTCACTGAAACACTATTCAACACCAACATTCACTGAAACACTGTTATCGTACACCAACATTCACTGAAACACTTATCATACACCAACATTCACTGAAACACTGTTATCATACACCAACATTCATGGAAACATTGATATCATGCACCAACATTCATTGAAACACTGTTATCATACATTAACATTCACTGAAACACTGTTTTACACCAACATTCACTGAAACACTGTTTAACGCAAACATTCACTGAAACATTGTCATCATACACCAACATTCACTGAAACACTGTTCAACACCAACATTCACTGAAACACTGTTTAACGCCAACATTCACTGAAACACTGTTTTACACCAACATTCACTGAAACACTGTTTAACGCAAACATTCACTGAAACACTGTCATCATACACCAACATTCACTGAAACACTGTTCAACACCAACATTCACTGAAACACTGTTCAACACCAACATTCACTGAAACATTGTTTTACACCAACATTTACTGAAACACTGTTTTACACCAACATTCACTGAAACACTGTTTAACGCAAACATTCACTGAAACACTGTCATCATACACCAACATTCACTGAAACACTGTTCAACACCAACATTCACTGAAACACTGTTTTACACCAACATTCACTGAAACACTGTCATCATACACCAACATTCACTGAAACACTATTTAACGCCAACATTCATCAACTCATGCTTGTCGTAAAAGGCGACGATCGTAAGAGGTGACTAACAGCATTGGGTGGTCAGGCTCGCTGACTCGGTTGATGCATGTCATCCTTTCCCAATTGCATGGATCGCTGCTCATGACGTCAATCACTGGATTGTCTGGTCCAGACATGATTATTTACAGACTGTCGTCATATAGCTGTAATATTGCTGAGTGCGGCGTCAAACAACAAACAATCAATCATCAATTAATTCATTTATCATATATTTCAAGATTTATTATGTAACATTACATTTTTGATATAAAAACATCACCACATATAGAAGTTTCTAATTGTACAACATGTATATAATTGTCAAAAGACTTCCAGGTGAGCCATGAACAGCAAGGAGCACAAGACGTTGTTCAGGTGAGCTGTCACCTAGGTTATTGCCAGAAGAACACATCATCCAGGTGACATTCATCCAGTAGTCAAGAGGACAACATATTGTTCAGGTGAGCTATCACCAAGTAGACAGGAAGTAAACTGATTATCAAGGTGAGCTATCAGTTCGATGACTGTCAGGAGGACAACCCATTGTGCAGGTGAGCTGTCACCCAGTAGAAAATTGAGAGGACAACACATCATCCAGGTGAGCTATCACCTCATAGGGTGTCAGCAGGACAACATATTATCCAGGTAAGCTATCACCTCATAGATGGTCAGGACAACATATCATTCAGGTGAGCTATCACCCATAGACAGTCAGGAGGACAACACAGCATCCAGGTGAGCTATCACCTCATAGGGTGTCAGTAGGACAACATATTATCCAGGTAAGCTATCACCTCATAGATGGTCAGGACAACATATCATTCAGGTGAGCTATCACCCATAGACAGTCAGGAGGACAACACAGCATCCAGGTGAGCTATCACCTCATAGGGTGTCAGTAGGACAACATATTATCCAGGTAAGCTATCACCCATAAACAGTCAGGAGGACAACATATTGTCCAGGTGAGCATTATATGCCGGGGGGATAAAATGGGATAAAAAACTCAATAAAGCATAAAGGCAATAAACGATTTTCTAAGCATCTCATGTGACTAACTACAATTCACGGTTGGTCATTTCAGTCACAAACACAAGTATCAAAACCATAATGTAAAAAGACATTGTTCGCTAAAAGCTAAAACAGAAATAAACATCCTTCCTCATCTTAATTACTGGAAAAAATGTTTTTGGAGATCCCTGGCCATGTCAGCTATAGCTGTTCTACCTACTTCAAAAAGATCCAATACCAGTACTGAGTGTATTGCAATATAATGTCTATGTGCGACCTTAATCCCTGCTTTTCTCAGTCGTTGAGCATACATGATGCTTTCATCTCGTAACACGTCATACTCCGCCGTGACCAACAGAGATGGCGGGACTCCTGTGAAGTCCTCAGCAAGGAGAGGAGCCAGGTACGGGTTGGTAGCTCGCGGTGCTATCTCCGCCCACAGAGTCTCATTACCGTAATCTACATCTCTGGAAGTCTCCTTCCTCAGAAACCTCTTCGGTAAATTGGCATTGGCATCAACAAAATCAGCATATTTTGACCGCTTCGCTGATGCTGAGGTGTGCTGGTTGTGAACCATGGCTTCAACTAGATCGGGATGGGAGGTCTGTCCAATGTAGGCGGCCCAGTACCAAGCCATATCGTTTGGGCCTGTGGCAAAGAAGTTCAATGGATTTGTGTAAGACGGCAACTTGAGGTCCAAGGGCTGAACGCAGGGATATATGAGCATCTGGAAGGACAGACGTGGGAGCTGTTTGTTGTTGCCGAGCCTCAGTGCAACAGCGGCGGCCAGGTTGCCGCCAGCACTGTCACCTGAAACAGACGAGTGTGAGTGGGTGATTATTTGCAACATACTTTCTGTAGTTTTTAAGTATTAAACCAAAGACCGAAATTTTCATTTGGAAATGAAAGTAAGCTGAAGGTTTCACATTAGGTAACTTCAGTGCATTTAATATTTAGTGATACCCACAAAAACCTTTCACAGAACACACATACTGAGAGACTGGTTTGTTGTTTTACGCCGCACTCAGCAAAATTCCAGGTATATGACGGCGGTCTGTAAATAATCAAGTCTGGACCAGACAATCCAGTGATTAATATCATGAGCATCGAGCCACGCAAATGGGATCGATGACATGCATCAACCAAGTCAACGAGCCTGACTACCCGATCCCGTTAGTCGCCTTTTACGACAAGCATAGTCGCCTTTTATGGCAAGCATGGGCTGCTGAAGACCTATTCTACCCCGAAATTGCATTAACCAAGTCAGGGAGCCTGATCACCCGATCCCGTTAGTCACCTTTTACGACAAGCATAGTTGCCTTTTACGGCAAGCATTGCTGAGGACTACTGAGAGATGGTTGTGACAAGATTGACAACTTGAGATGCCAAACTAGAGCCTTGAGACTCCACCGATCACATAGAACTGGGATATTTATACAGTCAAACACCATTGTGTGGAAGTTAAAAGGACCTATGTAAATATTGAGTTAGCCGAGGTTTCAACACAACCAAAAACTGATGAATAAAGAAGGAATATGCAGGGACCAAGCTTTTACTTCGGGACAACTGATAATTTGACACATCAATTCAACACAATGTGGATGAAATTGCTTGAAATTCAGACCATTTAAGTTTTACAAGATCTTTTTTAAATATTAAAAAACTGATATTTAATTTATGTTTCCACACAAGAAGCAAACTCACCATGTATTAAATAACAGTTTGCTACATGAATAATATTGGTTAATCAGTCAAAATATGTTCCCATGACTAGCATCAAACATTCATTCACTCATATATATTTTAACATAGTATGTCAACATGGCTTATTTTGTTTTACGGATCCATCGACCCAAAATACTAAAAAAAAGGGGGGGGGGGGGGGAGTTTGGCTGTGAAAGAAATCAAAATCAAATGTAAAATTAATTTCAAAATTTTTTATTTCAGCAGCACCATTCCAGTTAAGGAAATACAGGGAAAAGAAAACTTTTTTTCTGGAATCTTGCAATGCATTAATGTTATGGTCATCAAAAATCACCCTTCACCCATCTTCTTTGTATTTAAATAGCAAATAAAAGTAATAATATTCAGTACAGACAGGATATATTTCTTGTGTCTTTTAATTAGTCACTGCTTAAAAGAACAAGTTCCACAGTGACAGTTTCAAAGGGCGAAGTCCACATACTGGTATATGTCATGTCACTGCCCACTGATAAGGCTGGAATAGAGTTCACTTGGACAGGAAGTCCTAGCAGTCCTATGTCACTTTTTCATCCATTGGTAGAATGTGTCCATTGATAGGACTTTTATGTCCACCGCACAAGGCTATTTTACATCCATGCAAATCTGATCACCTGTTGATCCTGATGAGGGGAGACAACTCTTACCTCCCACAGCAATCCTGTTGCCGTCCACCCCATACTGCTGGGGGTTCTGGAGCAGGTGTAGGGTAGCCGTCACACAGTCCTCAAACGGGATGGGGAAAGGGTGTTCCGGAGCAAGGCGGTATCTGGAAAGATGTTTTGACTCAACTTAATTTGTCAAGTTCCACTTAATGAAAATATATGACCTTGGAATGAGCCATCCAAAATAGCGACTTTGAATTAACTTCATCAATCACATCATAAGGACATGCTTAAAAACTGTGGTAAACGTCTGAGACCTGCATCATTGCGGACTTTCCTCCCACATTAAGGTGACACGCCGCGATATAACTGGAATACTGTTAAAAGCGGCGTTAAACCCAACTCACTCACTCACTCACTAAATTGATTTGACTGGTTACATGTTTACAAACAGAAACTGTCCTAAATCCATCAATATCTGTGAGCTTTAAAGGAAGTCATCAAGGGATACCAGAAAGGCTGGAAGGCCTCGAGTAACATGTGACCTAAATATGCCATCTTTCTGTACATGTCACGAGTGTTGTATATTGTTTATATACACCTTGCACACAGATTATTGGGAAGAAAACCCATGTGGCCTTAATAACAGCAAAACAATGTCAACCATGTTTTTTAATTAAGCAGCGCTTGATGGTGATCATTAATTCTCACACTGATTTAGCCTTGGCTATTGACCTTAAAGGCTTTGGACTTTCAAGTTAGCATCCACAAAGGAGTCTTCTTAATGTGCCCACTTAACATTACCGATTTGGCTTGTAGAACTGGACCTAGAATTGTTGATGAGGAATAATCCAGAAGTCGAATTTGGAAAAATGACTTCTAAATGTTCATGTAAGGGACGGGTCATTCACTACAGGTTGGTTTGTTGTTTAACGCTGCACTCAGCAATATTCCAGCTGTATGGCGGCGGTCTGTACATGATTGAGTCTGGACCAGACAATCCAGTGATCGATATTATGAGCATCGATCCACCCAGTTGGGGCCGATGACATACATCAACCAAGTCAGCGAGGCTGACCACCCGATCCTGTTAGTCGCCTCTTACGACAAGCATAATCGCCTTTTACAGCAAGCATGGGTTGTTGAAGACCTATTCTACCCGAATCTTCAGGAATGGGTGGGTCAGAGGTCTTTGATGCACTAATGTACTGAAAATAACGATGCTCCCCTGATGCTTGTCATATTTTGGATGACCCTCCCCATGTCCTTGTAAATGACAAAACATAAAATGCACAAGCATATTTTATCATAAAATATACATCTTTTAATGACTATCCTTGGAGAACGTCATATTTTTGGCAACCCCATTACAAATAAATGACCGGTCCCTAAATCACCCAGAAACTGACTGTGCAAGCTCGCAGGCAGTAGGACGAACATAGCATAGCTGTGTTGGTCTATGACCAGCTGAGCTCGTGAAGTATATGAGCTATGTAAAGTCTATCTTGTTTACCCAAGCTGTTTGAGAACCAGATTACATAAATGACAGCAAAACTTACTCGACTGACACCACCAATATGTTTGCTGATTCCGCTATCTGTCTGGTGAAGCGGTCGTATAACGCTGCAAACAAAACAGTACTCCAACATATATGTTTTGAAAACAGGACAGAACGCTCTTTGGCATGTTGCTCAGTCAACTAAAACTTCTTCATAGAAGTGATGAACAAGTGTGGTATAGTTTGTGTTTTATGTAATGCTGCAGTCTGCAATATTCCAGGTTTTTAACGGAAGCCTGTAAATAATGTGCCTCCACCAAACAAACCAGTGATTGAAATTATGAGCAACGTCCCTCGTCATCAACCTTAAACTATCAATACAACAAGGATCAATGAAGAAAATACAGGGCCACTGTAATCTAAATGTCACCATTCAATGTATGGATTTTCTAGTGATGACAAGACGCAGGAACTCGTCTCTATGTATATAGAGGGGTGTGATTTTTTTCTATACGAATATATTATGTTATACACGTTATCATCGAGTTCCTGTGTGACAAGACGACTAAGTCAAACTATCCACGTTGCCAAATATACCACTCTATAAATTATGGTGCTTATAATTGGAACAGACATTAAAACTTCCCAGGACACTTTGCATCCAAATCTCACAAATTTCCACATTTCAAATAATAACACGAATCTTGGAAGGCAAACTTTGTTTGAACTTTGGACATTTTGGAGTTTCAAAGAATGTTTTTTTCATGGGAGATAACCCCTCATCCTTGACTGCCCATATGCTAAACAAACCGCATGAAGCGTCATAAAATCTCCATCCTTGCCTCTGCCACAGTGTCTGAGATGGGTGTAGGAAGGGACACTGTGATTCCGGAGATATGAAGTATCATGAAGTGCTAACATTATATAGCAGACAAAACAAAATTCGGCAAGTTTAATCGTATGGATTACTTGTATTGTGTTCTTACTCAGTTTGGACCTAGACAAAAAAAGGTGAAAAATTGTTTATATTTGAGATGGGGTAAGAAGGTTTATATATTATAGCTCTCTGATAGAAAATTAGGTCGGACAGTCTGGCTACTTTTATTTTCCTAAGCTAGAATGAAAGGAAAGTAGCCATAAAGATATTTCACCCACTGTCCCTCCCTCCCCTCTCCCCACCTTCAGAGACAACTTCACAATGCCATCTGTTCCCCGCCCTGCACCCAGGATGAAATACACCAAACATCCATACTTCATGTGAAGCATGGGGGTACAATTGGTCTTCAGCAACCTATGCTTGCCGTAAAAGGCGACTATGATTGTTGTAAGAGGCGACTAACGGGATCGGTTGGTCAGGCTCGCTGACTTGCTTTCCGATTGCGTAGACTGATGCTCATGAAGTAAATCACTGGACTGTCTGGTCCAGATTTTATTATTTACATCATGTAGCTTGAATATTGCTGAGTGCTGTGTTAAACAAGAAATAAACAAAAAACAAACCTCATGTGAATCACATCCATCAATAGTAAAGGTACACAGTTGCCTTGAACATGTTAAAAAAAACAATGAACAAAAAAATGCTTCCCACCTCAAATTGTGTAAATTATTGATACATGTATGGTGGTCTAAGATATGTGAAAATAAACAAACAACTGACCAACACTTCCGAATGTCCAGCCTCCACCATGGTAATACACTAGAGCTGGACTGGGAGTGTGGCCGCTCTTGGGGCGGTATATCCGAACCTTGACCCCATCAAACCATGTGTCAGTGACCTGCAGTAACATATAGTGAGTGAGTGAGTTGGGTTTAATGCCGCTTTCAACAGTATTCCAGTTATATCACGGCGTGTCAGTTTAATGTGGGAGGAAAGCCCGAAGTGATGCAGGTCTCAGGCATTTACCACTTCGGTGAAACCCACGAGCACGGGTATGGTGCTGATAAACCTAGAAACATAATCGGGGCAAACCAGGATTTGAACCCACAATCATAGGATTCTGGCGTGCCCAAGGGACGCAACTCTGCACAGCGAATCAATACACTATCTGTCATTATTTTCAAGCTATTCTTAAAATTTTGCACTCGATTATTGGATGCCCAAGCATTTAACATGCAATTCAAACATACAAAATATGATCCAACATCAAAACAAAATTAAAAATAAATAATTCTCATTTTTAAACCTTCTTGAGGTATTACGACTATATAAAGTTGACATGTTGAAACCCAAACTTAAATGTCTTAAGAAACGCAAGAGATTAAAATTTGTAAAGAAATTTTTTTAATTTTTTATTTTTAAATGTATTAATTTTTGAGGGGTAAATGGATATGTTTTCACCAAAGACTTTTGGTAATTTAACACAGAATTTTGGTAATTCTACCATAGAATTTTGATGATTTTACTGTGAAATTTGTCTGGGACTGCTGACAGAATGCTAATAGTTCAGCCTTGGAAATATCTTTTTTCTAAGCAGACTAAGTGTAAACCTTCTTTCGCTCGTCCCCAGACTTTGTAGTTGATCCTGCTGAACAAGCCAATAAAGTTCACTGTATATTTCTGTCAGTGTTATTGTTCCAATTTGTAGCAAAACTGAAGCATTGAGAACCTGTTTCAGAATTACAGCCCTCAAATGGTACCAGTCAATAAAGACTAGATTGGATTTGTAATGTATCTACTTGTCCTCGGCACAATTTACCGGGGTAGTAGTCACGGGCTCGTGTGAACTTGAAAGGCTGGTTGTAACTGACACAGTAGGTTAACAATTTCAGATCTTTTACTCCTTTCACACGAGCAAACAGGTATTGTATTGGAGAAATAGATCAGAGTTTAGTGAGAATACACATGTTTACAAATTAATTGCTATACAAATATGACAATACATACAAGGACAGCATTCCTTCAGGTAGATTTCTCATCATTTATCTTAAAACTGTATACATGTACTTTGTGTGTGGACTTTACAGGGCTATACGATGTTTCGATACAGAATGGTTTAAAAACGAAAACTGTTTATCAAAGCAGGCTTAATAACACAAAGCCAAATTCATTTTTCCATTTGATGAAGATTCAGAAGAAAAGTGTCGGTGCTTCAAGTAAAAGATGTGGTTGGCCCATTATATTCTATCATTATCTTAAACTTTTTTAGATCAATCCTTCTAGTTTGTTTGTTTGTTTGTTTGTTGTTTAACGCCACACTCAGCAATATTTCAGAAATATGACGGCGGTCTGTAAATAATCCAGTCTGGCCCAGACAACCCAGTGATGACAAGCATCAACCAAGTCAGCGAGCCTGAGCACCCGATACCGTTAAGCACCTCTTGTGACAAGCATAGGCGCCTTTTACGACAAGCATGGGTTTCTGAAGACCCCGGATCTTCACGGGTCTCCATGCTTCAAGGGCAGATTCACATGTCCATTGTGATGCTTATTACTGCTCGACGGGCCCAAGTTGGACTACAAGTGGGTATTTTTTAAACTAACCTCAAAACAAAAATATTTTTAAAATTATTTTAATTATTGTATTATGCCTCTGCCTTTTGTTATACTGACAAATAAAATCAGTTGAATAATAAACAAGATAACATACATTAAGGAATGGACTTGGTTTGTGGTTGAATGCCCCGGCCTCTGCCATCGTGTCCAGCAGACGCAGTGTGTTTGCATAGCTGCCACAATCAGTGGAGTCAGTAACTCTGCCCTGGAAACAAAAGAAAATTAGCATCATTATTGCATAATTTTGCTCTCAGTGATAATGACCTCATTGAGATTATTATAAATAGTGCAAAACTTTTGAAGAATGGAATGTCAATCTAGGGCAGCGACGAGAGCAAACGACCAGATTTTACATATTTACTCAAACCAAAAATGTGAGAAGTAATGTGTGTGTAGGCAGAAAGAAATTTAGCAATTTGTAATGTAAACATGGACTTTGATTGTTATTGCCGTTAAACAATATATCACGTGACTAACCACGGGTCCAGGTTGTCCAGAGCCTACATTTTTTCTTTTAAAAAACATTTTGCACAGTCTTCCTTTTTGTGGCCAACAATTTCGGTTTGTTTCAATAGTCTGAAGCATAAGTACTTTTGTCAACATTTTTCGGGGACAAATTATTTTTCTCCAAATATAAAACCCCAGGCTCCCCACACTCCTACCAGAAATACCAAATGGTCGTCCCTAACATAGATCTGATTATTTCATTTTGAGAAGAGTTACATATCACTACTTTGTTCCATTTTCGAACATAGGTGAGGTGAGGGGAAATTGGGTTTAACGTCGGGTCTAAGATTATTGCACTTATATAGCAATGTGCATGCATGTGATGCCGATTTATAGTGCTAGCTCACTGAGATACCATGACACAGTTTAACATGAATACCCCACTCAGACACAGTATACTGACTCCGAGCCGACCAGTCCTTGTTTTAGCCCACTGAGATAGCATGCCACAGTTTGACATGAATACCCCACTCAGACACAGTATACTGACTCCCAGCCGACCAGTCCTTGTTTTAGTCCCTTAATGCCGAGCGCCAAACAGGGTGACAAGAAGTACCATCTTTTAACAGCTTTTGGTATGACGCGGCTGGGGACCGAACCCTGGACCTTCCGCTCTCTTGGCGCTTGCTCTACCACTAGATCACAGAGGCGTTTTTTCAAACATAAGACTTACCACAAGTTGTAGTAACTTAAATGCTGCTGTGTATATCCTGAGCTTCCATGGTTCTTCCAGGTCGTCAGGTATAGGTGTGTACAGGTAGATAGAGAGGCCTGTCACAAGGACAGATACCAAGAGGGCAGATACCTTCACGCATCCCATAGTGCAGATGACTGTCTGTAAACATTAACACAAGATCATAAACAAATTATAGTGTGTATGTTTGTTTGTTCATATTTTGACACTTTGATAAAAAAAAGAATCAGTTACACATGACATGAAAGTGTGCAAATAATCGAGAGGATTCACATAAAAAATAATTTATTAATTATAACTCTTTCTTAATGATTGGATTACTGTAAAACCATGATTGTACAGTAAAATACCCATTAACATTTACGCATCCTTAGCTATACAGGGTATTTTATTTCTGTTCTATTATTTACATCATTTTCTGAAAATAAAACGGTCCCCTTTCATAATTTCAAATTAGGTTGTCTTATATGATGTTGTGTGATAAGACGGTGCGACCATCATGCATGACAACACGAAGGTCGCTCAAATTACAAAAGCGCTGCCAAGAGCTTTAATTTAGTGCTAAGTCTTACGATACCTCATGAACACGTTTCTTGGCATTTGATCAAGACAATCATTGATCATATTACGTCTACAAGTATACCTCGCTTGTCGACTCTATTCTTTTAACGACTTTCTGTGTATGCGTGGACAAGACGAAACATTTCCCTTTTTCGTCCGGGTGTTACTAAGTTGGGAGACATACACTACAACTCCTTACAGCCTACTTTAGACTGGCGCGGCAGACAAGGGAGGAAGCATTTGATTTTCGGGGGTGTTCTAAAAATATAATCACGAGTCTTGTTCTACTGAGATCGCCGCGAATAGCTGAAAAAATGCTGACTAACTCACGTTTTTCTGAGAAATTATTCTACATATACCTCGCATATTGAAGAAAGAAAAGAACCTACGCTTTTCTTGACTTTTTTTTAAAAATGTCCGAAGAATACAGTCAGTCATGTTTATCAATTTTAGCAGAGACCATATAATAGATAATATTATATGGTCTCTGATTTTAGTAAATAAGCATCCAGATTATGTAGGAACAAATAATTTTGACCTCCCAAACAAAATTAAAATGCTGATCTCAAACCAAAATCCCGCCCCCTGAAAATGAAATGGTTGCTCCCTATCCGTAAGCTGGGCTCCGTCTCTTCATATCATATGACCATGTCGTTGAAGATGCGCATAGTATAGCTAGTGATCGTTTCACCGTGATCTGCATTTCCGTAGATGAACAATATGTTAAGGCTTTTAAATACAATTTCACGTTAATGACTTGAACAATGTACATTTCGTAAAAAAATAATAATGCTAACCATTTTCACATGTATTTGAACATGTACAATTTGGGTGATCTTATGTACCAATTCTTCAAAATCATAATCAGTTCATTGCACATGTATCTCAGTATTGTATGTGAGATATTATATTTCCTTTTTCCATGCGAAGTACGAAGGTGACATGGTTTGATGCTTTTGTAAAGAATTGTAAAACAAGAATTTCGGTCTGATAACGGAATATAGTTACACAATCGGTCAGTCGATGTGTAAAAGGGAGAGAGGATTATACTCAACAACAAAACAAAAACAACGTTACATGCAGATAATGCCAACCTGGCTTTTTGGGACACACATATACAATTTAAAGACGTTTGAACACTAAAAGGTAGGTAATGTTGGATGGTAAATACATCCTAGCCTAGCTCCTTTTATATATTTCAAATTTTGAAATAAAAGCTGACAGTGATTGTCAATCATTATAAGATAAAATTGATACTACCTTTGCAGTAAATGTCCTATGAATAGAAACTAGGAGCTTGCGCGTATTCTGTTATTCAGCGATGTTGGGAGTTTGGAGTATCCTCCTGTCTCAGTTGCTAAGGGGAGTTTACCGCACCGGAATTTAGACAACGCACGGCGATAGTCCCGATGTTTGATCGTACATATAGTCACTGAGTACTGGTTCGCTTTCATACAGTCTACATATACACGTATGCTGTTGTCGTTAGGTTGGTTTTGATCATACCAATGAACCTTGAGTCCACTTATCAGTCAATTTTGTTAAAAAAACATTATGAACTGTCAACCCTACATAGAAACTTCACTGGAGGTAGCCTATTGACGCAATGGAATCATTTTGTGACGTCATGAACAATGGATGATGTCATATCGTATTTTTCTCAACAATGAAGCACTGTGAAATAAAGTTTGCTCCACCCCCCATGTGTTTAAGTTGGTTTGTTGTTTAACGCCGCACTCAGCAATATTCAAGCTATATGACGGCGGTCTGTAAATAATCGAGTCTCGACCAGACGATCCAGTGATTAATATCATGAGCATCGATCCATGCAATTGGGATCAATGACATGCACCAACCAAGTCAGCGAGCCTGATCACCCGATCCCGTTAGTCGCCTTTTACGACAAGCATAGTCACCTTTTACAGCAAGCATGGGTTGCTGAAGACCTATTCTACCCCGGATCTTCACGGGTCCCACGTGTTTAAGAAATGAACGATGAGTGGGAGTTGTTTATTGTAATATAAAACACTGCAGGGAGAATAAACCACGAGGGGCAGTATTTTGTACAGACTTTTTAAGGATACACTCGGACCTCGTCAATGTCGGACAACTCCATTTTATGTACTCGTGAGTAGTTCTGGTATCGGACTCGTTTAAAAAAATGGCATTACACGGGAGCTCGTTAAGTCTTCTACATTTACAACACATAGGGTTAGAAAAAACCGAGTTGATAAAATTCGCATGGGCACATGTGCTAGTATCACTTCACACGCACAATTGTATTTTAGACCCATGAGGACCTGGGGTAGAAGAGGTCTTCAGCAACCCATGCTTGCCGTAAAAGGTGACTATGCTTGTCGTAAGAGGCGACTAACGGGGTAGGGGGGTCAGGCTCGCTGACTCGGTTGATGCATGTCATCGCATCCCAATTGCGTGTATCGATGCTCATGTCTGGTCCAGAGTCGATTATTTAGACCACCGTCATCAGGTCATAAAGCTGTAATATTGCCGAGTGCGGCGTTAAACAACAAAGAAACATTGTATTGTTTTTGTCATCCGGGCGGCATTGTTGACGTCATTCCAATCTAATAGTAACGCAAGGTCGGAATGACATCACACTAGAAACGACATCATAGCTGAAGATTTTTTAAGTGATTCGAGACTTTCCTGAGATGGCTGTCGTGTTTTTTTCTAAAGGGGACTTCAAAAGAATTAAAAAATAATGGATAATAAAGAAATTATTAAGGAAGAGAATATAAGGATGTCAACTTCTTTATTATGAGGAACACAACGTTTCGGAGTGTATGTTTACTCCTTCATCAGGTGAATGAATGCCATGAGGCAGAGAGCATATATATGTACATGTAAGGACAACAAAGTTAATAAGATAACAAAAGGTGGAAAATAACAAAGGGTAGAAGCTAACAAAGGAAGCCAGCAGATGATTGGCGCTGATAGGCAATTAGCAATAGACAATGGAAGCCCATACTTAAGTTATCATAGCTAAGTAATTGGCAATGGACACTGGGTAAAGGGGAAGCCACCAAAGTCCTGTCTACCAACAACAACAACTAGAGACAAAGGAAACTACAAGAAGCCATTGAGACCAGGAGACACCAGCCAGCCATGAACCGTGACCAGGGAACCTACATGCCTACATCTTCCCGAGGCAAGAGAGTTAATTGACTATAGAAGTCCAGTTTCCACCCTTGCCGAACTAGACTGGTTTTATGTAGTTATATTCTGGCTGTACTAACGAGTCTATGCATAGTCCAATCAAAATCGCGCAACGAAATCGGAATCCGGTCAGTAAACTGCATGGATATTTCGGTCGATTGCATGATTTACAAAACATGTGCACTGCCAACTCGTTGTCAACAGATATTTGCTGAGTCTTTTCATGTTTTCAATCAAGGTGCTCACGTGTGTATTTACTTTGTGAATATGATATATTTCTGTTGATGTAATATGATTCGGTTATTTCTTGTTTGATGTGTGGGAAATTTGGTATGGAGTCGGAAATGTTTGATTTGTTACAGTTATAATATGATTTAATACTTCATTTTGTTTTTGTTGAAATCCTAATAAAATTGTCAATTTTGAAAATTCTAGTTCTATTCCAGTTTTGTCTTTGATCCATTTTGTAAGGTTGTTCCAGATAAGTTTTTCAATTTTGCACTCTGAGAACATGTGCACTGAGGTTTGTTTTTCTCGTTAACAAAAAGGCAAAAAAATGTGTTTTTTTTGTATCCCATTTTGTACAGTAACTCGTTTGTTGGTATAATTCTATGAATAATACTGTATTGGAACCATTTTTGTTTTGAGGACACATAATATCTGTGGGGGATACGGTTAATCGTTTGCCAATCTTTCTCCGTCATGTTAAGGCCAAGATCTAGTGCCCATCTTTGAATGTATTTTTGGGATATCATAGTGTTGTATACTTTATTTAATATATATCATAATATACTCTACCCCCGTCTTCACTTGGTTTTCAAGAAAATGTGGTATGAAGGGTATATGTAACCTAGATGTTCGGGCTATACTCTTACGCTTTAGATATTGTTTTATTGCTTGGATAAGCCTGGAATATTTCAGCAAATGTGTTTTACAGTCGTGTGTTTTGGGTCTAAAAGATCTAGAAAATGTCCGATCTCGTCTATCAAATCATTTACAAGATTAATAATACCTTTTCCCGAGTACTGTCCATATGAGTTTATATTTATCTGTCTCATTTGATATTGCAATTACAGTCTTTGGTTCTCTGGAAATCTACAGCAGTTAACATTAACCGGAAACGTTACAAGCCATAAAAATAATGGCATATATTAGACCAAACTCTTGTGCTAACTAACATATTTTAGCCCTTGGGAAACATTTTTAGCTGTCTTGCTAGGTCCAATGCCGGCTTTTTCAAAACATCTTGAACTATTAACATAATACGTAAGTGTTGAAAATCTACAGGCCTGGCACTCTCTTCCTCCTTCTTAAGTGCAGTCCTCGGATCCTGCAAATATTTCTTCATCTGTATTTTCTTAATCATAGGTTTGGCATCGATCCCGTAATAAATATTAACCAACTATATTTCACGTCTGATTGATTGACCTTCTTTGTATAAATGAGAGAAGCAGCCTGAGAGATCCGGTCCATAAGAAATGAAGAAAGAAAGGAACTGAAAGTACTCCACGACCATCAGCTGTACGTGTGGCGGGAGAGATAATCCTTGTTGTCTCTGCGGCTAATGATCAAAGGGAGATAATCGCGCAAAGGAACATAATATTATTAAAATGTTCTGGCCAACAAGAATTTATAAAGATGAACTCCGTAAATTAAACGCAGGTAATCTGTTGCATGTGTCGTCCTCCGACCCTCATTTTCCCAATGGATTGAGCATCGAAAGGCTAAACGAATGACAGAATATTACACGGGAACACCCGAGTTCGATGAATGATCAAAGGGAGATAATCTAGTTTAAGAATGCAAGAGTTAAGTCCCTTGATTGAGCTCCTTACAGGGCATTAAATGAAAACTTCACACACTGCGTGGGTTTATCAATATAAACTGGTTCCACTGTTTGTACGCGAATCAAACCTAACGCTTGTGTAAGACAGGAGCCCAGTCTATTATTAAAGGGAAGTAACTGCGGCAACATTAAGAGTTATGGCCCTTGCACAAACTCCTTACACTGTCTTTATCAAAGGGAGGTAAGCGTGAAAGTTGACTGGTACCCTGTCCATGTGGCGCGTCGAGGAAAACCAGCCTAGCATGATAGTAACTGTTATCTCCCTTCGGAGAAGGTCGATGATGACACCGTAAAGAGCCTTAGCGGACATGCGTATGTCGATCATATTTTACTCATCTCAGATACCATTTTCGGCTATTTTCGTCAAGCCTGTAAACAAATACCAACCTCCTCTTTTGCCAGATTGGAGATAACCCGGAAGTGATTCACAATAACGCCCATAAACTTGTATTATTAATGTCCTTTTTGAGGGGATACACCCGACTCGCCTAAAAAGATTTTGACCCGACTCGCCTAAAAAAGTTTTGAGCGAACTATGGTCGGTTTTTGTATTTTAGAATACGTATGTAACTATCAGAAATACATAGTAATGCATTTTATACACATAATGTACCTAAATGTTAGTGTTGTAGTCTCGGTAACCGACTGGGCTCTGACTCACTCCGGGAAAACATACAAATGCCAGTTTAGTGAACATGTGGTGCAACTGCAACGTACGTTGTGTTATCTTCAGGATATGAATTATGGATTTATTATTTGATGGATATAACGAACCCATGAGGTATGTAAAGAATTAAGTGATCTTTTAATGTATGTTTTTAGGATGTAAATATGACAGAAGACAAATTCTATGGATGATACGTTTGTTTGTTTTTTATTATTTCCATACTTGTGTATGAATATAGGCAACTAGTAATTGTGATCATTAGGCCTAACCTAAGTTATATTTGCCAAACGCGTACCAAAATATATATATTTTTTAGGCGAGTCGGGTCAGATTTGTTTAGGCGAGTCGGGTGCAACTCTTTTTGAGAATGTTGTCTGAAATCTTGTCATAACAGAGTAGGCTAGCCATCATTGCGACAAAGCTAAACACGATCGTGCAGAAAAAAATATTAGCTATCGTGATTTGTTTGTAAATTTGACGCCTGTCAGAAGCATGCAGAAGTCACTCGTGGTACGTGGTACCATGACCTAAATTATTAAAACCATGTTGCTTGTTGCTGCATTAGCGTACCGGCCACAGGAACTCGTTATCGGTCAGTAACTAAAAATATATACATATACATGGGGGTAGATCTACATATTTATATTTCCTGTGGCACCATCCTGTTTCAAACCTCAAACCAAATTTGGAATCCGTTAATATATGGCGTTTGAAGGTTTTAAAAATATACTCATGCGACGTGGTTTGTAGATCTAGTGAGTGAGTATGGTTTTACACCGCTTTTACCAATATACCAGCAGTATCACGGCGGGGGACAACCGGAAATGGGCTTCACACGTTGTACCCACGTCAGGAATTGAACCCGGGTCTTTAACCACATGGCTACCCGACCGATCAAAGCAAGATTTGGTTCCAGGTGTGTAAAACGTCCTTTTGATACCATGCACCTAATGTCAGTTCCTTCACTGGGTTGCATCAGTCAAAACATCAGTTTCCATTTTGGTGTGTTAATTCGAACATGGTAGAACTTCTACTATCTCAAGGGTTTTTCTTCTTGGGGCTGTCTAAAAAAATGGGGGGTGTTTTTGAGGGGGGAGGAAAAACTAGATACAGATATACCATAATAGGAACAGACCTAGCTCCTTAAATGTGTAAGTTCCCGCTGAAATTTTCTCTTTATTGTAAAAGTTCCCTTACAATAAAGTTTATCTGTGATGAAATTTCGGTTGAGTCATTAATTAATTATATAAATTGAGGTAAGAAACTATTCCTCTCAGTTGATTTTATCATATGATGTTTGATCAAGTTTGATATTCAATTGAAAATATCGTAAGAAGAATCTAAGTGGTATTATGTCCAAAAACATTAAGTGTACTGGCACTTACTCACCACTCAAAGAATACTTCCACATGGTTTTATTTTTAATACATAATTTAATTTAAACTTTTAATAATTAAAAACATTCACATAATAGGCCTATACACAACTGATGTTATATCCTATATATCTGGCTATACTTTGTAGGTGTTTACAATCTCATTAAAATCAGATATTAGTTATTATATAGATATTAGCGAGAACTAAGATCTGATTTTAATGAGATTGTAGGTGTTTACCGCTGAACATAGGACATTTTGATCGGAAATCTCATAAAGCAAACTAGGTGTATTGATGGGAACTTTATATGCAGTTTGTGATTATGAAAAAATAATAATTTTGTATGCGAATAATCCTCGTAAATGCTGCTCTGGTGCTTTCTGGTTTTCATTTTTTGCCTGTTTCAAAGCAAAATGATTGGTAAAAATCACTGTCAGATTGTTCTTGTATATAGTCACTTATCTGATAAGTGTCAACAGTGTTGTAGGTGTGTTATACTGTATGTAATTTACTTTTTATATATTTTAGCATACTAATCTCGATTATTACTTTGATACCAATGTTGACAGAGTTTTCATGATTAATACGTGCAATTTTGTGAAACTGACATGTTAATAGATCAAAACTGTTCACCTAAAGACAACTTTTAGGAACATTTGCTCTTGGCCCGGAACATACACTACAACATTTTGGCCCTTCAACCACATAGTTTGGTTCTGCTGTGGAATAAAGTTTGGGAAAACAAACATGTTCTCAGATGTCTTACTACTGGAGGTGTTGCTCAGTGTTGGTGATGCTTGGAGCTCCTACTAACTTTGTGATGATCAGTCCGCCCATAGGTTTACTCAGAATGTCAGCCTGGCGGTGGTGGATAATAATATTTTTGAATATCATTAATGTGAAAACATACAGAAAATATGACAAGCAACTACATCGGAATAGGATATGGTCGATAAGAATAAACGTTCACACATCTTCATTTTTTAATGCACGCTCCTGAGGCAGAAATAAGACTGAAACAGTATATGGAAATACCATTTTATTGAAAAGCATATACATCAAACACGTCAGGTGATATGAAAAAATTCTGTTGATACAAAAAGAAAACGTCAACAATGGAAAAGAGCTTGTATATACTTGTAAATAGATCACAAACTATGTCAAAGGGGACATTTTACTTCTGGAACAATTATGCTCAACATAAACACACATTTCTACATTCTGTGAAACTATAACAACTTGGAATGTTAAGCTGTAAATATCCACATACTTGGTATTGTCACACTATCAAAAGCCCAGATCAACATTCATAAATAATGTATGAAATTTATACAAGGCCATGAGTAAGTGAGACATTATATATACAGATTCATGTTCAGACTTAACAGTCTACATTTTATATAGAAGCACCACACATAACAAAAGGCACTGTTACCCTGGGGGCCAGAGGCCCTGTTGGATTTCCAATGTCCGTATAATTGAGCTTACCATGCATGAGGCCCTGCATGATGCCCACTGATCTGGGTCAAGGCACAACACTACTACAGGTGGGTCAAGGCACAACACTGCCACAGGTGGGTCAAGGCACAACACTGCCACATGTGGGTCAAGGCACAACACTGCCACAGTTTGGTCAAGGCACAACACTGCCACATGGGGGTCAAGGCACAACACTGCCACAGTTTGGTCAAGGCACAACACTGCCACAGGTGGGTCAAGGCACAACACTGCCACAGTTTGGTCTAGGCACAACACTGCCACAGGTGGGTCAAGGCACAACACTGCCACAGTTTGGTCAAGGCACAACACTGCCACAGGTGGGTCAAGGCACAAAACTGCCACAGTTTGGTCTAGGCACAACACTGCCACAGGTGGGTCAAGGCACAACACTGCCACAGGTGGGTCAAGGCACAACACTGCCACAGGTGGGTCAAGGCACAACACTGCCACAGTTTGGTCTAGGCACAACACTGCCACAGGTGGGTCAAGGCACAAAACTGCCACAGTTTGGTCTAGGCACAACACTGCCACAGGTGGGTCAAGGCACAACACTGCCACAGGTGGGTCAAGGCACAACACTGCCACAGGTGGTTCAAGGCACAACACTGCCACAGGTGGGTCAAGGCACAACACTGCTACAAGTGGGACAAAGGCTCAATACTACTGGTACAGGTTTGTTCACATTGTGAGCTGAGAAATATGATAAAGTAGAATATCATGTATATGATATTTCAGAATGCTGATATATATATATATCATCAGCTATCAAGACTTGCAGATCTCACAAAATACAAGCAAAATGATAACATCAATGTAAATGCACTAGTTTAACTACTAATTGAATTGGTTGAAATGTCAAGTTGTGTATAAACTAATTGTTAGGACTGACTGTTTGAATCACAAAATTGTTTTATTCACAACAACAATGGCCAGCTATGAATACTCAAGTGATGATAGTCACTTGAAATACTTTGAAACGTAAATACTGAATTAAAACATTTACCTGAAACCCCATGAGGACCAAATCACAAATTAACTGAGATGACATGTGAGTGAGTTAGTGAGCTGGGTTCAACTCTGTTTTGAACAGTATTCCAGTTCCGTGACTTGTGGGAGGATAGTCCGAAGTGATGCAGGTCATAGACATTTACCACTTGGTGAAACCCACGAACCAACGAGCATGGGTATGGCGCTGACAAACCTGGAAATATTCATTGGGTCGAATTGGGATTCGAACCCACAATCATAGGATTTTGGCGTGCCCAAGGGATGTAACTGCACAGCAAATTGAGGCGCCTTACAGCGTTAGAAATTGGCACTAGTCCTGTAGTCCTTACCAAACTGCCCAATAGTAAAGGTATCCTAAGGACGAGAAGAAATTAGCCCATTTTAAGGGTTTTGCTACATGTTATCATTATAAGGACTAGTGGACAAAAACTGTTAGTTTCTAACCCTGCCTTAGACGACTGGGCCACCCGTACCCCCAGGTGAGGTGGGAGGTAATAGGGGGAAGCTGACAGAGGTGATAATCTAGTGATTAATTGATAAGGTCCTAATGATGTCAAAGTACTGTCTGACCATACTCACAATTATTCCTTATTGTCAGGATGGAAAAAAGCTTTGATATCTTGATAAATCTCTTTCCTTGCCTTTCTACAAATTTCAAACGCATTAGTTTCGAGCAGTCCGTGAATGATGTGGTAATGTCGATGTGTGACATCAATCCCTGCCTTTCTCATGCGTTCTACATACAACACACCCTCGTCCCTCAGTGCATCGAACTGAGCTGTCACCACCAGGGCGGGGGGGACCTTCTCGATCTCGTGACCCAGCAGGGGGGACAGGTAGGGGTTGATCACCTGGGACTCAATTTCACTCCACAGGGTTTCATTTCCACTTTCCGTATCCATCTTCCATTCCCCATCGTAATAGTCTTTCGGGAAGTTCTTCACATCAACCAGCTCGGCAAAGTGGGACGTTTTCATCTCGGGTGATACATGCTGGTTTTGAGTCATGGCTTTAGGAAGGTTGGGGTGGGATGTGGGGCCGATGTAGTGTGACCAGAATGTGGCATGGTCCAGACTGGTGTACAGGTAGTGGTTGGCGGCGTCGGTGTAGGAGGGAAGCTGCAGGTTGAAGGGCTGGAGGGGAGGGTAGAGGAGCACCTGGTACACCGTGTCAGGGAGCTGGGGGTTGCTGTTCAGCATCATGGCCACTCCTGCTGCAAGGTTGCCACCAGCGTTGTCGCCTGGAAATTCACAAGTCAGAAGTGAGCAAATAGTGTTTTATTGAGTGAATGGTTTTACATTCTGGAGTTTGGACCACTTAAACCAGTGAATTGTTTGATAGGCATTACTTAGAAGTTGACGGATGACAAGCTAGACACAATTTTATGGATAACAACTTCTTAAATACTGTGGAAAAGCGACGTTTCGGTATAAGGATCTATACCAAAACGTCGCTTTTTCACAGTATTAAAGAAGTTGTTATCCATAAAATTGTGTCTAACTTAAACCAGTGGTTGATCATGTGAGTCACTTTGAATAGTACTTCAGCCTTGTCATGGTTTTGGTTTGTTGTTTAACGCCGCACTGAGCAATATTCCAGCTAAATGACAGGCAGTCTGTAAATAATCGAGACCAGACAATCCAGGGATTGATATCATGAGCATCGATCCACGCAATTGGGATCGATGACATGCATCAACCAAGTCAGCAAGCCTGACCACCTGATCCTGTTAGTCGCCTCTTACGACAATCACCCCGGAATCACTTTGTCATGGCATGTTAAACCCAAGTGATGCAGATGATCCCAGATGATACCACTTTGGCGAACCCCACGAGCACAGGTATGGTGCTGACAAACCTAGCATCATTGAAAGGCAACTATGCTTGTCGTAAGAGGCAACTAACAGGATCGGATAGTCAGACTCGTTGACTTGGTTGATGATGCATGTCATCGTATCCCAATTGAGTGGATTGATGCTCATGATGTCAATCAATCACTGGATTGTCTGGTCCAGACTGGATTATTTACAGACTGCCATCATATAGCTGGAATATTGCTTAGTGCGGCGTTAAACAACAAATAACCAACCTAACAGCATCATTATCCAGAGAATTCTGGGATTTGAACACACAACCATCAGACTGTGGCACAACTATGGGAGGTTGGGCCATCTGTATTTCCCACTTGATTGAACCAGTAGCGGGCCATATACAGAATAATGGACCCGAGACCAATTATCAAATGGTTGCAAGTGTAAGCCTCCATCAATGCTGTTTGTGATGAAACAATCACATCATTGCTGCATGTCAACTTTCCTAGTGGCCACCGACCTGTTAATACTTGATTGTGGATCATTGATCGTGTGAGGCAAGATGTCGCAGTGCTCGATTCAAGGAACTTGATTCACATTGAACGATGTGCATATTGCCATGAAAACCAAGTTTGCACCAAACAAAACCAGGTTGCACCCTGGTCCCATAAATTCATCAAAGTTGAAACAGGCCGGTCTGTTGCCAGTGTTAAATGTAAAACATAATAGGAACATGTGCATATAATCTTGAAGTAGCCACAGTTTGATGACGTCAAGCCTGAGAGAATATGACAAATTACACATAACAGGGATTAGTAATCATGGTAATGTAGTATGGTAAATAACTTTAGCGCTACTGAGTTTGTTCAAAGATCGATTTTGTGTGACAAGTAAGGGTTTGTCAGACACAAATTTGATGCACTTGGGGCATGTAGACATAAAAATAAGGTTCCATTTTTCAATAACAGGTTGCACTTGTGCATGTTCCCAATCAAATTAAAATCAGATCTTAGTTCTTGCTACCGCTAAACAAAGATTTTAGGACATTCCATTACCGGTCACGTCAGACCGACCTTGCACGAACTTTGACCGGCCAATGGAATGACCAATCAGAAGGCAGCTTACTCGTGCTTTACGGCTCAATTACAAATTTGAAACCTGAACAAAAGAACATTCTGGAATGACTAATAGATGGGCTAGAGTGTATGGATTCAGTAGTTAAACTCGTAACTATCGTTCGGAAGAACGTTTTCGAGGATGCATGATTAGAAACCACATTCCGACTGTCACTTTCATAATCTGGTAAGCGACGCTCTGATTGGTCGGATGAAAGGTCGTTCTGACGTGACCCCTAATGGGATGTCTTCAGCGGTAGCGAGAACTAAGGTCTGATTTTAATGAGATTGGCATGTTCCATATTGCAAAACTGAGACTGTGTGGCTGATGGTTGGTGTAGCCAGTTGACCCCTGATTGGTGTGGCCAATTGACACCTGATCTGAGTATTGTCCACACTGACTGCCACTGTTGTCACCTGATCCCAAGTTACCCTCATCTGTTGACCAACACAACACATTGGAGCCATATACTATTCTGGATTTATCACAGGGAATAGCTCTGTGTCAAAGGTCATGGGCGGATACAGAGGGGGGTCGCGGGAGTAAAAAAAGCTGTATCCGCCCATGAAGGTTATTAGGTAACATGGCGAAAGCAAACTGTAAAATATACCTCCCCCTAACTTTTAGTAATATAAGTATGATGAGATAGGGAATCTATCAAATGTCTTATAATATCAAATATATCAACACGAGTCACTAAAAGTGTTGCCATGGTCACCGATGACCTCACAATGGTCCCCAAAGTACCGTGATGCAAGTTTATATCTCCTGGAAGAGATCACGTGATCTCACCCAAATGGTATGTCCTGTGGAAGCCAGTTTTGGATGATGAAAGGTGTATTACTATGGTCATTTATAAGGCTAAAACAAAATGATAGTCGTGGTTCTCGGGCACCGCCTGCATCATCATAAAGTCATCATAAAAACTGTTAATTTGGTTACATGCTAGTTTGAACCAAAAACAAACACCCGCCTGCACTATATTTTCAAAAGTCATTGCCTGAGAACCAATTCTTTTATTTTTTTAAGCCTAATCCAGTCACATTTGTGAGAACTGAACTTTGTGTTGTCAGCACCAGAACTTGGCTAACCTCTAGCATGGGGGGGAGATACAGTCAAGTCCCGTTAATCCGACATTGTTGGTTGCATATGATTATGTCAGATTAACGAGTATGTCGGATAAACGAAATGAGGTAGAATCAACGTTCGTGATCGAAAATCGGAGAACTACACGATTGATAACGATTCAAACACGTTGTAATAAAAAGAGGGAGGAAAAAGGCAACATTCATATTGTTATGTTACATTGTTAGCGGAATATGTTTTCAAATCATGCAACCTCTAAAGTTTAACACAATGTATGACTGATTCAAAATACTTTTTAAAGCATAGTCTGGAATGGAAGTCACTAATTTGAAACTAGTGCCGCAATGCTTAAGAAAGCTGCTTTCTTAGTGGCTAATGTTGACTTCCTGTCGGTCAAAGTGTACACAGTTTAAGGCATCAATTACAACATGATTCAGGACATGGAAAATCAGTCATTTATTCATCATACATGTCTTACATACACAGCATGGTTTCCAAAATTAAACAAAAACGTGAGTGCAGGCAAAGATTAAAGATAGAAGAGAGTATAGGCTAACTGCACCAACTAGAGCTGAAAGGAGCTTGCAACTTGTACATCCTGTGAACCAACTACAATACACCACGTGAGTGTAGACTATCAAGGCCACTGATGACTGAAAGTAACAATATGCCACCAATGACTTAATATAGCAGTCAGGACTTTCTGTTGGACACAGCCTAGTAACCAGCATTTGTAGTTTCGTTGACCTCAGGAGTGTACAAGATTAATAACGTAATGATCTCACTGAAGTGATATCTCTTTTGAGAGAGAGTTTTGGATAATGATCATGATGTGTTGTGACATGACATGACATATTTAAGGCATAGCAAGGTCATGCATTCATACTTGCCGTAAAAGGCGACTATGCTTGTCGTAAGAGGGATCGGGTGGTAAGGCTTGCTGACTTGGTTGATGCATGTCATTGTATCCCAATTGCGTGGATCGATGCTCATGATGTCAATCACTGGATTGTCTGGTCCAGACTCGATTATTTATAGACTGCCGGCATATAGCTGGAATATTGCTGAGTGCGGCGTTAAACAACAAAGAAAAGAAAACAAATCATACAGAGTGATACTGGATATATGAGGACAGCTTTCATATCTTCATTCCCTTCAGGGAAGGGGCTACAAGTGTTGGGAAAATATTGGCAGTTTCAGAAACAGAAGTTTTGCTTGGGATTCTTCTCATTCCCTGTGATGATCAAATATGTTTCCTTAGATTTCAGTGAGAATTCGTGAATAAGCCAGGTTCTTGGATATTCAGTTTACAGACTACAGCATATCAGAAATGATACTCAGGATAGCTCTGAGCGTAGACTGATGCTAAGTAATATGAGAGGTGGAATCTGATTGGTCAACAGGAGGGACATAGAAGGGACATATCTCGTATAGCCACTGGTGGTGCTACAATCAAGCCTGAAAATTCCAGTCAAGTTTGACAATGGTGGAAACTGGCCTTTAGTGAGTTAACGCCCTTGCCTCGGGAAGAAGTCAGAGTCAGGAACCCACTTTTAGCCCCTCAATCTCCACCTGATGGTCAGGCAACTTAATATAAACTACAAGAGCTGAGAGAATCAGAGCTGCTGAAACCAATACTCAGGAGAAACAATTTGTTGATATTGATCATATATTGGCAATCTGTCACAAAGTGATTTTGTTATGCAGAAAAACTGGAAACAAGATGCAGAAAGGTATGACACTCTATGCAGGCACAAAGGCACAAGGGAAGTGGACGGTCAACACTGATGATATTGTTTTATTTACATAAGGCCACACATTTTTTGTTTTTTGTTTCACAGGCCTGCCGACCCTACGGACAGTCCAAAAAATAAATTAAACATTAAAATATTTTATTTTTATTATGTCTCCCGCTAGTAATATAGACACTCTCATACAATAAAAAAATGTTAGACATGAATTCCAAGTGTACATCACTATCAGTGATTCAAGATGCTAGCTACAGTTTAAACTCCACGGCATGACTGACACAGCTATTTATTTTTATTTCGACCAACCTTTTGTGGAAAAGCTGGAATATTTCTGTGAAACATAAAATTAAAAATGTGTGGTCTAATTGACATCATGGGGAGGATCATGTCAACAATAATAAACTACTAGTCACAAAATACGATATGCAAGTTGGGAAGGGCATTGTACTGATAATTTCTTTTTAGGGATCCTGAATATTTTTGGGGATATATTTTTGTACTGAAGACTAGTCACACAATTTCATAAAAATATCCCAAAATATTCATGATTCCTACTTTTTGGGGTTCAGTGTACATACTTCTCACACTCCACCCATCATGGGTTTACCCCCACCACCCAGCTGGAGACACAAGAACCCGTGATACATCTACTGCAGTCACACACAATCGACCTCTTCTATCCCAGACAGATGCTCCAGGCAAAAGATCCTTCTCACATTGAAGCATGAAGGATATCAATAAACATCTGGAAGGACTGAAACACCCGAGTCCAAGAGAAACAGTAACATCCAGTTGTCACACAGTCCACTTGAATATATTGCTCTTTCACCTTAATAACAATCACAATAATAAATCACAACATTCAACACATGACCTGTAAGTATTCGTTGTATCTACTGCCAATGTGACCTTATGTTTCACCTTAATAACAATCACAATAATAAATCACCACATTCAACACATGACCTGTAAGTATTCGTTGCATCTACTGCCAATGTGACCTTATGTTTCACCTTACTACTTACTATATACACTGTGTCCGGGATTTACCTGGGTTACATGTTTTGGGGGTCCTGGGACAGTAATTGTAGGGGTCCCAGGTTAAAACATGGGGACCTGAGACCAATTGTAAAAAATGGAAGACAGTGCTCTACCACAAGTGATGCAAGATTACACATGCTCAGTTGCCATTTGCTGACTTAAGTAAATGTACAAGTGTAACAGATCGTGATTTTTTTTAATGATCACAGGAATGAAGTTTAAGTGTTTCCAAATTATAAAAATGCATACAGATTTTCTGCATCCCACACACTGTATGTTGTGTGTGCCCTGTGCCCTGTAATGTGTGTGGGGGCGGTCGGGTCGCCTAGTGGTGAAAGCGTTCGTTCGTTACGCCGAAGACCTGGGTTCGATTCCCAACATGGGTACAATGTGTGAAGCCCATTTCTGGTGTCCCCTGCCGTGATATTGCTGGAATATTGCTAAAAGCGACATAAAACCATACTCACTCACTGTAATGTGTGTGACCTAGTGAAGCAGAGCAGCATATGATCCATGCATGGTTGATGGTGGAGCACATATCACTGTTGTCTACATTGGTTTTCACAACATAAACAGGGGTTGTTGGGTAGCCTAGTGGTTAAAGCGATCGCTCGTCACGCCGAAGACCCGGGTTCGATTCCCGACATGGGTATAATGTTTAAAGCCCATTTCTGGTGTCCCTTCGCTGGAATATTGCTAAAAGTGGCGTAAAACCATACTCACTCACAACATAAACACCAGACAACTACAAGGGATTTCTGAAGATTTATTTTCAGGTAAATTTGCATCTTCCCAAGTCAAGGGAGTTAACTGACTGTACAGGTCCAGTTTCCACCCTTGCCAAACTAGGCTGGGATTTCTGGGCTTGATCATAGCATCACCAGTGGCTATTACGCGTTATGTCCCTTCTATGTCCCTCCTATTGACCAATCAGATTCCACTTCTCATATTACTTGCATTTGCTTCAAACAAATAAGATCTATATTGTAATAAAACTGGTCTTACTTCACAAAGTGCATCAAATCATGTGAGAACCATGATTAAAAACATGAAAAGATTTGGAAAATTTCTGCTGAAGGCATGTTAATTGATGGTACACATGCTTTGCAAATCCTGCAATCGACTGAAATCTGCACATCAGTTTGCGAGCCAGATATTGATTTCGTTACACGATTTTGACTGGACTATACATAAACTCATTAATCCAGCCAAAATATAACTTCATTATTCCAGCTTAGTTCGGCAAGGGTGGAAACTGGACTTATATAGTCAGTTAAATCCCTTGACTGGGGAAGATGATCAGTTTGATGAATTGACATGTACTGCTGCAGCAAGTGCTCTGATGATGACACAACCAACCAGAATATGAAGAACTTGCCTAATTTGGGCAGCCACAACTATAACACACACTACACTCGCAAGTGTAGAGATAGATAAAAGCTATGTGTATGTGTTAGTATCATCATATTCATAAAACTATTAAAATAATCACAACTCGCAATATCTTAAAAAAGGAAATCCATGATGTGTACCATGTACGATGGTGTATCTGTGTGCTTGGAGTTAGTCAAAACACACGTCAGTAAATTATTACAATTTGTATACTAAACCTTTCCATTATTTTGATAAATATTCTTTAACACATCTATTCCGAAGCTGGTGTGAATAATAACTGAATTATGTTTCACTTGCGGTTATCTGTGATGCTAGTTTATCCTGATTTAAGAGTACAGGTAAATATTTCCCTGGGTGGTCACTAGTTTGGTCAAGCAGAGCACATTTATATGCTGATAAGGTACATAAAGTATACAGGTTATAGAGGCGTGAAACTCCCGTGCTTCGTGATACTTGTACATTTCAGCAAGACAGGACATAAACAACCAACACTTCAACCATACGGTTTATATTAAATCGTGCAAACTGCTTCGAATATGAATGGTTGAGTTTGTGCGATCTGCAGAGTAGGGATGGGACGAGTACAAACTTACTACCCAGGTACCCACCCTCTATTACCCTACCCTACCCGGGTACCCACTGTAGGTCTCAAGGGATGGGTACAAAATGTCCGATTGGGACTAGTTTGACCGTAGCCCTAGCACTATAGACTTAGATACACATATAAAACAATCTGCTCATGCATACACTGAATTTGACTGAAGCTTTATCTTTATTCAAACATGTGAAAGTCAGAAGGAATGCGTGCACAGTCAGAGTGAGTGAGTGAGTTTGGTTTTACGCCGCTTTTAGCAATATTCCAGCAATATCACGGCGGGGGACACCAGAAATGGGCTTCACACACTGTACCCATGTCGGGAATCGAACCCAGGTCTTCGGCGTGACGAGTGAATGCTTTAACCACTAGGCTACCCGACCGCCCCCGTGCACAGTCAGAAAAAAATGCAAACATTAGTGACTTGTAGTGTTGCCATGGAGTTCTAGATAATTTTTGTCATTAAACAATATACCACATTACTAACCATGGGTCCGGTTGTCCTGTGGGTAACAGGGTCCTAGTCTGTACCCACCTGACTCAAGTACCCAAGTTACCCATCCCCGTCCCGTCCCAGCAGTGCATAGTTGTTGTGGCAGTATTTTATCGGGACATAAATGTCCTGTCGCGGGACAACTGGCACTTCTCATCTGTGACATACAGACATGGACGTGATGGTGAGAGAGTGCCTTGGCTGACATCTTCCCGAGGCAAGGGAGTTAACTGACTTTAAAAGTCCAGTTTCCACCCTTGCTGAACTAGGCTGGAATTCGTGGGCTCGACTGTAGCGCCACCATTGGTTGTTACGAGTTATGCCCCTTCTATACCTCTCCTATGGCCCAATGAGATTCCACCTGCATTTGATTAAAACAAAATGGCGGTGCCCAGTCAAGATGATCTGATTGATAATCAAGATCTATATTGTGATAAAACGGGTCTTACATCGCGAAGTGCATCAAATCACATGAGCACCTTGATTGAAAACATGAAATGACTTGGCAAATATCTGTTGACAACGAGTTGGCAGTGCACATGTTTTGTAATCCTGCAATCGTCCGAAATCTCCATGCAGTTTACTAACCGGATTCCAATTTCGTTGCGCGATTTTGATTGGACTATGCATAGGCTCGTTAGTCCAGCCAAAATATAACTCCATAAATCCAGCCTAGTTCGGCAAGGGTGGAAACTGGACTTTTATAGTCAGGTAACTCCCTTGACTGGGGAAGATGACATGGATGTGATGGAGAGGGAGTGCCTTGGCTGAAGGTATTCAGAGATTCCACTATAATTCTAATTCAGCTAAACTATGGTTGTTAAACCCACTACTCTTACTAGCTCAATTAAAAGAATAACCTACAATGTTCACCGAGCAGTAAAGCAACTATTCTTAGGTTCTCCTTATCAGCAACACCCCTCCTGACAATAAGATGCCTTGTCACATGATTCTTTGTGTGTCGCATCACAATACTTTTATTGTAAATTTTTGAATATACATATACAACTAAAATTCCTCTTATCATCATAAATTTCAATTGTTAATAATACTTTAATCCTTATTCATCAACCGCCTCTGTGGTCTAATGGTAGAGCGTCCGCCTGGAGAGCGGAAGGTCCGGGGTTCGATCCCCAGCTGCGTCATACCAAAAGACGTTAAAAGATGGTACTTGTTGCTACCCTGTCTGGCGCTCGGCATTAAGGGCCTAAAACAAGGACTGGTGGGCTCGGAGTCAGTATACTGTGTCTGAGTGGGGTATTTATGTTAAACTGCGGTATCTCAGTGTGCTAGCACTATAAATCGGCATCAGTCCGGACTAGAACAAGCAGCAACACAAACACACACATACACGTTGTTATATAAGTGCAATAATCTTGGACGCGACGTTAAACCCAGTTTCACCTCACCTCACCTTATTCATAAGATCCAGGCAAGAAAAGCTGTTCATTTACCATGGTGGAATGATTTCTTGTTTTTGAAAAGAGTTTATTCCCATCCCCACACCCAAACATTGTTAAATGACACACCTGTCAAATCTTCTCAACACAAATTTTGAGTCTTTCTTTTATATTAGATGGTTAACAGATTTTCCCCCATTTAAGTCAGTGAAAAATAAAATCAATGAAAAAAAAAGAAATGTGACATGACATCTTTTTTTCCATTTGGTTTATGGAATTTTCTAAAAAATATCAGTTTGGTTGTGGTGGTTGGTTCTCTTAAATGTTGACAAAATAGAAAGGTACGACACATTCATTTTCTCTTTGCTGCATATTACTTTAATTGCATTTTAAAATAAAAGGTTTCAGAAAGGAGGTGTCAGAAAGGTGAGTTTTGATGGCAAAATATTTTCATTTAAAAACTGTGTTGTAAGATTCTAAAAACATCATTTTTAATTCTTGTTCCTAAACTCAATATAATATTAAAAAGGAATTTTTATTTTATTTATTACTTATTTTTTAATTTCCATTTTCTCAGTCGTTTGGGTCAGCTGATCCATAAACCAACTGAAAAAAATGAAGAAATACTTACCAACAGTTGTATTCCCTCAAATTAGGAGATAAATATACTGTGTTTTCAATGTAGAGCTAGGTTACCTGTAGATTTAACCCCGCTAAATTGAATTTAGAAAGAAACGCACAGCGTGAGGTTCCAAATGTTAAATTAAGCGCAGTTAAATCTACAGGTAACCTAGCTCTACACTGAAAACACAGTATATTTATCTCCATTCTACCATGACTAAATAAAACGCGAACTCTTGGGAGTTAGCAAATATACTGAGTGAAGCGGCATGGGTTGAGTCCAGTGTTTTGAGCAGGTTATCGATCTGAATTATGGAATCACCGAACAAAATATGGCGCTGTATATACTCAAGCAGTTTGTCTACACCGTAATACTTCACTCGAACATATGACAGGCATTGAAAGCATAGAAGCACGGCAACTTGGTAAGCTAACATGAGGTGGGCATCCCTAAAGAAAACAAAGCAAGCTTTGCAAGGCTTTCGCTCTACATCGCACGTCACCATTATGACATCATATCGCTCATTGTGACAAAAAAGATATGACGTCACAGTCGTATATAGAAAAGCGCCAAAATTCCAAGCACTCTGTTGTCTCCAAAACGTAAATACATTCCCTTTGAAGATTTCCATCGTGTTTTCTGCACGAAATGTATTGCCACACATCCTTTGAATATTGTATCTGTGCATTTTGTAACCTGTAATTGTAGATATAATTATTTAAATATGCCTACCGACAATGACTGAAAATAGTACTATTCTATGAACATTAGCTTCCATGGTGATGCGGCCTTCAAACCAGCTGTTTCAATCAGAGGGGGTTTATTGTGATTTAATAGCCTTTGATTGACCAATCACAACTGAGTAAATTCCAAATTCATGGTAGAATGATAATTATGCCATGTTTTCAAGAACCGGTTATCCTTATTATTCTTTGTTCATATTGACCTCAATATAGTTGACAATTTCCTTCAAGGCCCTATGGCAGACTTCCAACTGTGTGAAACTGTAAGACAAGTACATGTAACAGAAGCCATGACTAGCCTGTTTCACATGGTAAGTATTGACGCGTATACCCGCTCTACGTAGCCTCTCGGCATAGATCATCCCCTCGTCCCGTAGGACATCTGTATCAGCAGTCATGATATATGCAGGGGGCACCTGGGTCAGGTTCTGTGCCAACAGGGGTGCAAAGGTTGCATCCAATATAATAGCCTCAATCTGATTGGACAAAGCGTCATTTCCTTCATTCTTATTCAAGATGTCCATTGGAGGTGTTTGAAACCGCTCAGGAAGCAGTTCTTGACTCACAGATCGAGCATAATCCGAATATTTCAAGATCATTGATGTGTGATTATTGGTGGCGAAGTCTTGGTAATATTTTTCTGGTTCTTTGAGCCCCAGGTACAGGATCCAACATATGACAACCTCTTCTTTTGACAGCATTGGATCATCCTTGAATTTGTGAAATGATGGGAGGTTGAAGTCGAAGGGTTGGAGCACTGGGTAGATGAGCAGCTGGAACTTCAGTCTCTGGATGTACGAAGTAGGTTCATCCGAAAATCTTTTGGCGATGGCTGCAGCCAGATTCCCACCAGCACTGTCACCTGAAATTGTGAAAGTTTTCGTTCATTGCCTGAAAGCTGTCTGTTTGTTGTTTAACACGGCTCTCAGCAATATTCCAGCTATATGACATTGGTCGGTAAATAATCAAGTATGGCCAAGACAATCCAGTGATTGACATCATGAGCATCGATCTACGTAATTGGGATACAATGAGATGCATCAACCAAGGCAGCGAACCTGACCACCCGATCCCATTAGTTGCCTCTTATGACAAGCACAGTCGCCTCTTACGGCAAACATGGGTTGCTGAAGACCTATTCTAACCCAGGTTATACATGTTGCTGTAGATGTCCTGCATTGTTCGTCAATGACCGCCTCTAATACTTCACCTTCACAGGGGAACATCATAAAGAGCCCTTGTCATCAGCAAGGCTAACATCTCACAGCAAAGAAGTACTGTCAGTAAATAATCAGTTCTGGACCAGACCATCCAGTGATTGTATGTCATCATACTCTGCTATAATATCAATCTATGAAGGCAGCGAGCATCATCAGCTGACTCCATAGGCCTATACCATGGCCTTGTACAAAAAGCATTATATAAATAATTACTCTTGAACGCCAAAGAGGTCGATCCGAGGGTCCTTGTTTTCGCATATTGACCACGTCAAGGGTAATTATTCGTTTTGTTAAACCGAAATTCACTTAAAGTTCATGAAGGCTTTAAACTGTCCTCTGTTTCATTACAGTAACTTAGCTGTGAACTATGAAATGTTCGTACCATCTGGTTTTCTAGCAGACGAGTCAATATATTCATCACATAACAGGTCAGTACTGATCATGTGACGAGTCAATATTGGAGGTAAGTGTCAGTCACATGACTTTGGGGTCTACATGTAAATGTAATGTTTTATCACGTGAAACGGTTTAACCAATGGAATTGCAAGATACTTAACCTGAAATGTTTTCACACTTCTTACCCCTGCCTGCTTGATTAGCTTTAGCATAAGGTGTTCTAAAGATATTGAGCAAGCTGAGCATTTGTGCATGTCATACGTAATTTAAATGTTATGCAAAGCCTTCTTGGTAAATAGATATTGCAAGTTTTGTTTGTTGGTGTCCTTTTGCTATTCGCCTGTTGAATGGCTTCGACATCAATGCACGGCTAGTGACACGCTCTGTCGAATGGGTTCAACATTAGCGTTGGTGTGGACCTTTCCCAACCAGCATCCCCACTGTTCAAGGCAGGCAATAAATCATGCAATATATTGTATGACATGTGACAAACAGTGCAAGTGTCAAGCAGGAACCAGGTCGGGTGCAAATGGACAAAGCGGGGAGGATATTCATGCACTGACATGCAGCTTTCGTACATTCAATACTCGTCTAGGAATACATCCAAATACTACAATAACTAATTGAAGAAAACATCAGCTTCAGTGAGACTGTGCCCTACAGCACATGCGTGAGTGAGTGAGTGAGTTGTGTTTCACGCCGCTTTTAACAGTATTCCAGTTATATCGCGGTGTGTCAGCTTAATGTTGGAGGAAAGCCCCAAGTGATGCAGGTCCCAGGCGTTTACCACTTCGGTGAAACCCACGAGCACGGGTATGGTGCTGACAAACCTAGAAACATAATCGGGGCGAACGGGGATTCGAACCCACAATCATAGGTTCCTGGCGTGCCCAAGGGACACAACTCTGCACAGCGAATCACGGCGCCTTAGACAACTGGGCCACCCATGCCCCCCTACTGCACATGAAGTCAACAAACATAAATCTAGTTGTATGAGAGTGCGTACAGCGTAAGTTTTACTTTTTATCAATTTCATGTTTTCTCCCCTTTAATTAATCCCTGGAGGCTAGGCTCTGTTCTGCCACATACCTGTATTAAGCTTAAATGAAAATCAAAGCAAACATACTGACTCCAGAGGTGAGACATCGTTCAGAGGGCCTCCTTGTCATGTGGATGAGTAAATGTGTTCAACAACTCTTTGAACTGATTTCAGTAATATTGTGTGCCACCTTCTTTACGAATGAGTGAGTGAGTTGGGTTTCACGCTGCTTTGAACAGTATTCCAGTTATATCACAGTTATATCACGGTGTGTCAGCTTAATGTGTGAGGAAAGCCCAAAGTGATACAGGTCTCAGACATTTACCACTTTGGTGAAACCTACGAACATGGGTATGGTGCTGACAAACCTAGAAACATAACCAAGGTGAATAAGGGATTAGAACTCAAGATCTTCACTCAGTGACTCTTAAATGTCACCTACTTTCCATTTGCTATGACTAATATTGAAATACAAATGCTCAAATACCTACAACCGTCATACACTTAAAGAAAATAATTCAGTTTCCTATTCATTCACCCGATCTTTCAAGTTTGATTTCACATGATACCCATCCTAACACGAGGCTGGAGACATGGAGTACTTACTGTGGTACATCTTCATTCTTCTGGCAAGAAAATCATTCAAAAATGTGTTGGACATGGCATATTCCCGTTCGAAAAGAACACTTTTGTTGTCGTCCAGAAAGCTTCTCCCACCGTTCTCAGAGTTTCAAGAGACATCCTCCCAGGGATGTAGTTCACAGCTACTGGTTGTGACCGCATCGATCCAGTCAGGGCATAATACGACACATGCTGAACAAGTTGAAAGAACAGCGTGTCCGACAAGAACTTCCCCAGCATAATGACCACCAGCTGCCATACTGACCATTTGATCTCCTTTGGGATTGTTTGCATGTTCCAATTTCTTAATTTCTTAATTCAAAACACGGGCTGTGTCCCTGTGGGCCCATGGAGTAAGCTGATCAATGTGTTGGATTAACGAGACTGATTAATGAGTGATTTCAGCAATCCGTTGCAAATTTGGTGTGTCGGAGTCAGAGTGCAAGACTGTCAGATTAACAGGTTTAAAGCCCTGATTTAATTGGTCCCATCACTTGTGTCAGATAAAGCCGACTGTTGGATTAATGAGTGTCGTATGAACGAGACTTGACTGTATGTCAGTGGCACTGATATACTCATGGAGAAATATAAAGGAAAGTGTATAAATTTATCCCCTTCTTTCACAATACATTCTTCATAACAATAACATTCTCAAGGGTGCAATGTACATTAGAATATTGCTAAGTTCACTCACCTACATTTCCGAGTACAGAGACATTTATCTGTGATTCCAAACTAAGTGCTCTTGGCAAGCAAATTGGTAAAATATCGTCTGAGCCTCTGAGCAGGTCTTGATACACAAGTAAATGGTTAGATTCCATGCAGCTTTTACCATTATTTCTGCTACACAGCGAACCTATAAAGGCACTTGATGTCTTAAGTGTGACAACTGGAGTAGATAAAGACCATCATATCACACAAGTTTTTCCCATTCAAACAACCTGTCCCTATGTCTGTGAGTATATGATGTGTTCCTCAATGCTCCCAATGCTTCTATGTATCCTGTTGCCACTATAATAATCACTATAATAATCACTGTGATAATCAGTTTACATTCCACGGAGCCCTGTAGGCTTTGAGAACAGTTCATTTTCAAGCCAATTCAATTTTTGTTCCAATATTTCCGATCAAAAATTGATAAAACCAATTAAATGTCCTACTGCTATTAAATTTTGTCTCCAGCACAGTCCCTGGCTCCCCCTACGTGGAAATACCCCCTTTATGTGGAAATGTCTCTTTGAACACATCTTTGGAAACACTTCATAACTGTGCAGGCAAGGGGAGACAACTACACTATATACAGACATGCACAAACTCCATGCAACACTTTGCTTGAGAAGGCGTATCACTTGCACATCAATGCCACAAACCTATTTCCTACCATTCCATTTATTTTTTAAATTGTGTATAAATGATTACTGGATGAGATATGTTGGTGTCTTCAGTGACGGAATCCACAACATATCACACAATATGGCTGAATCAGGTATGTCTCCACATTTATATACGGAATGTGCCTAGTTTGCTTTGAATATTTTGAATAAATCTACTAGTTTTACTAAGAAGGCAACTCTTAGAGAACTGCATGAAAGTTACAAAATGTAACATTGATTTACATGTACGAAGGCCAAAGGTCATGTCACAGCTACAAGATGGGGACATTCGAGAAACAAAAAAATATAACAAACTATATTGGGTATATTCAATCACATGCATAGACATGAGACCAGCATGCACACACATATACAACTGATGCACATAAATACTGAATCATGCATAGCACTGCAACAGTTTTCTCTGAACTTTCAAAATGCACGTAAAACAAGGGCAAAAGTGAGTGTGGCTCACTGATACTCCCGACCCGCCTAGTGTGTCAGTAGTTTCCAATTAAATAATGGATAGGGTTAGGGTTTGAAAAATTCATAAAAAAATGGAAAATTTATAAAAACAATGTTTTTCTTTTGACTGCACCCCTCCATATGACACAGATTATATGTACTAAATTTGAGATGAATCCACTGAATAGTTTAAGAGAAATCACGCAGACAAAGTTTTCGGACGGATGGACAGACAGATGGACAGAGGAACCTTGGTATACCATATACCTAAAAGGTCGGGGGTATAAAAATTCTTTCCAGATCCACTCAAAACTGTACTTCAATGACATTTCAAACCTCTTAGTATTTCAAACTAGGCTTATGACAGCTTTAACAAATGTACTCCAGATGGCTGTTAATTCATCTGTCATATGTTTCATAAATACTTTGCTCATAAAATTATAAGTCCTGGAAAATACAAACTTGAGGGATTGTCATGAAGAACTGAAAAACAAGAGTCATCAGGAGACGACAAATCTCCCTGTCTGGTGCAATTCATAAATGGAGTTTGCTAACCTTTCCCCACATTTGGTTCAATGCCATGGGATACGTTCAGTTCAGTTCAGTGAAGGAAAAGATAATGCTGTTCAGTACTTTCAATATCCCAAGTCATCAAAAGACACCAGTTCACCACAAGACTGATCTGTAAAACTAGCTTCATTCAGAAATAGTCAACAGTTTTGGAGTTCTGCTCCGGAAACGAGCACCCCCCTCATTTTCAGTAAACTCCAAACGTGTTGTCATGGAAACAAAAAAAACAAAAATAATAATTAAAATCTGAAACCAGCAAGTTTCAACAAGACATATTCAACAGTTTAGGAGTTCTGCTCGGGAAACAGAAAATGGACAGCAGACAAATGAATGGACATGCTGATCGCTTTTTGCCCCCGTTTTTCACACCTGGGGATAATAAATCAGACAATAAAATATAAATAATATACTAAATTTACAAGGGCCATGGAAATAACTGGCAAGCACCTGTTAGTGTAAACATGTTTCAAATCATGTACATAGCAACATTAGACAGTCATTAAGATGTCATCTGCCACCATCTCCCTACAACGGAGAGATTCTCACGAATCTGAAACAATCCACTCTTACCTCCCACAGCAATCCTGTTGCCGTCCACCCCGTACTGCTTGGGGTTCTGGAGCAGGTGTAGGGTCGCCGTCACACAGTCCTCAAACGGGATGGGGAAAGGGTGTTCTGGAGCAAGGCGGTATCTGGAAACATGTTCAGATGTGAAGATATATGAGCAGGTGGATGGATGAATGCACTTTTGTCTCTAAAGCCAAAAAAAATAATCGTCTTGGTTCTCGGGCACCGCCTGCATCATCATAAAGTCTAAGTTTCATTTTTTTATTTCCATTTTAAAAAAATATATTCAAAAACAATGCGATCCAAAATAGCATGCAGTTACTTCCCTTTACATGCACACTGCTTTACTGCGTAAGTTGTTTTATGGTCAAGGCAGCAATAGGAGTTTGTATGCTTGTTTTTTTGTAGGTTTCCAGATTGATGGTACGAACTATTTATTTGGTTACATACTAGTTTAAACAAGAAAAAAACAACCCAAAAGAACACCCAGCCTGAAAATAATCGAGTGTGGACCAGACAAACCAGTGATTGATATTATGAGCACTTATCCCTGCCGTCACAGTACAATGACACAGAGCCATGTTACCCTAGCCTCAACACGTAATCCCCTCAGGTGCCTCCTCCACCCCACAACCATGTGCTGCTGTTCTAACCCTGACTCCCCACGTCGGATGTAGTTGGACACTCACTCCACTGACATCACTACAATGTTGGCTGCCCTGGCAATCTCAGCTGTAAACTCATCGTACTGGTCTAAAAACAGAAACACATCCTGTTACTTCTTCACATAGAAGTAAAACCACATCTTGTTCAAACTTAAATTACAGTAAACTACGTTTATAACGAACACGCATATAACAAACTGTGTTTTTAGGGGCCCTGTCCATTTGCCGTATATATATATATATATAAAAAAAAAGTTTGTTATATGCGTGTTCGTTATAAACGTTATATATATATATATGTATGCTTATAATGGTTACTGTTATAACAAACTAAAATTAGTGGTTCCTTTGAGTTCATTATAACTGTAGATTACTGTACATTTTAATATAGAAGTGAAACATATCTTGTTCAAAATTGAATTACTTACTTCTTAACACAGAAGTAAAACACACAGATCTTAGTTCTAGTCTGAGGACATCCCATTACGGGTCACATCAGAACAATCTTTCATCCGACTGAACAGTGTGTCGCTTACCAGACAGTCGGAATATGTTTTCTAATCATGCAACCTTGCAAGGTTACCGCAGGGTATTCAGAATGACAGTTACAGGTTGTACGACTGAATCCATCAAAATCATCGTCTATCTCTTCAATGCGATAAACATTTAAACCAAGGAAGCTGTGCATAGCCAATGGGAAGTACTGCAATACAATCTAGCCCATCTATTAGACATTTCAGAACATTCTTTTGTTCAGCTTTCAAATTTGAATCTAGATGTTGGTCTAAATATTTTTCAAAGCGTATTCTGGAATGAAAGTCACCAGTTTGAAACTAGAGCCTAGAGCTAATGTTGACTTCTTGTTATTCATTTCAGTGGTTGGTCAAAGTTTGCGAAAGGTCGTTCTGAAGACCTGCAATGTCATGTCCTCAGATCTTTGTTCAGCTGTAGAGAGAGCTAAAATCTAATTTTAATGAGATTGATCATGTTTAAAAGTGAATTACTTCCTAATATAGAAGTAAAACACATCTTGTTCATCAGTGATGTCCATGCAAAATATTTTCAAAGAATTTTGGTATTGGCTGACCCTATTTTTGTGCCTTGGATTTTGATCTTAAAAACTGGACCTCAAAATATACAATATATCTTAGTAGCATGAGGCCACATCTGCCTTTGATAGCCTAAGTCAGAACTTCATTTGAGAAACTGTGAATGAGGAAAACACTCCAGATACAGAACACCACAGTACCTGTCTACAGGCCTAACACATGCACTGGAGACACGCAGGAAACAAAACCACAGTACAATTTTGAAACGTAAATTTTGAGTACTTCGGGTTGCAATTGTTTACCAAGAAACAAGATGATTCCATCCGTTCTCTGCCAAGAACTCAGGTCGACTTACCAACACTTCCAAAGATCCATCCCCCGCCGTGGAAATATACCAGCGCTGGGCTGGGCGTGGGGGCACTCTTGGGGCGGTAGATTCGGACAGGGATCCCGGATAACCTGGTGTCTGTTACCTGGAGGGGAGAAGGGAGAAGGGAGACTTGTTATTCAAGCCAAAATATAACTCCATAATTCCAACATTGTTCGGCAAGGTTGGAAAATGGACTTAAAAAATCAGATTACTACCTTACCCCCCGAGCCAAGTACCTGACTCCCACAGGAAGCTGGCAATGTGTGGGACTCCCACAGGAAGCTGACAATGTGTGGGACTCCCACAGGAAGCTGACAATGTGTGGGACTCCCACAGGAAGCTGGCAATGTGTGGGACTCCCACAGGAAGCTGACAATGTGTGGGACTCCCACAGGAAGCTGACAATGTGTGGGACTCCCACAGGAAGCTGACAATGTGTGGGACTCCCACAGGAAGCTGGTAATGTGTGGGACTCCCACAGGAAGCTGGCAATGACATGTTCAGTGACCCACTGACTGGGGTATCACTGTGGCACTATGAGCATACCAAGTAGCTAAGTGGAGTTTGGCGCTATGGTGTGTGTTTGTTGTTTAATGCCGCACCCAGCAATATTCCAGCTATATGACAGCGGACTGTAAATGATCCAGTCTGGAACATACAATCCAATGACATGCATCAACAAAGTCAGCGAGCCTGACCATCGGATTCCGTAAGCCGCCTCTTACAACAAGCATATTTGCCTGTTACGGCAAGCATGGGTTGCTGAAGACCTAACCTATCCCACCTTCACATAGGAACATTCATTTGTTATTATTACTAAGTGTTGCAGGTGTGCAAGTTGCTTATGCCAAACTCAGCAAGACTCCAGCTACATCCTGGAGGAAAAGACTGTCGTCGTACTTGTAAGTCAAACTATATTGGATGATCCATACATTGTCAGTTTCATAATTGCTGCACTTTAGACCACCCGTGTCCCTGTAACGAAAGATACACCAACCTTGAGTAGGGGGTCAGACTTGGATGCCACTGCCTGAGTAGCAAACATCTTGATCAAGCCCCGAGTCACGTTGACTCTGCTCCCCAACCCCACCATCTCACTCACGCCACTCTGTGGGAGAAAACAACATATGTCACCAACCACGAGACAGACCTTCAGATAACTTTTTGAACAATTTAATTTTTACTCTAGGGTTTCTATTTTAATTGGGTTATCAAGGTCTATACCAGGTGAGCACCTTCTGAGTTCAACCATAACTTTTCCGAAGTTAATGCAACCAACATATATTTGTGCTTCACTTGAGATAAACCATATGTTCAATACATAATTGTCATTTAAAAGAATGTTTTACTGACCTACTGCACCTTTAGTCCAAAGCGAAAAAGCAAAATCCCCCAAAAAAACCTTTCTACCCTTTTGATGATCAGTATCATCCATATTGAACCCAAAACCAAATTTTCTCCAGGGTGAATGAGTTCCAGTTGTATCCAAATGACGGAAAGAATTTGCCGGGATTTGCAATGCTCCTAATTTCAAAAGTTAAAAATTTAAAAGTTGATTCAACATGGACTTACGATGAGTTTCACCATCTTGAAAGCAGCGAGGATGGAGCGGAGTTTCCAGGGTTCCGTCATGTCGTCAGGCACAGGTGTGTACAGGTAGGCAGACAGTCCTATCATCAACACTGACATGGAGATGGCCAGCACCTTCAGGCAACCCATGCTTGCTGCTGGGACCTGGAACAGTGAGTTGGGGTTTATAGCACAGTGTAATATTTACAGCCGTATCGAGGTGGGGGAACACCAAGCTGGTCTATGGCCAGCACCTTCAGGCAACCCATGCTTGCTGCTGGGACCTGGAACAGTGAGTTGGGATTTATAGCACAGTGTAATATTTACAGCCGTATCGAGGTGGGGGAACACCAAGCTGGTCTATGGCCAGCACCTTCAGGCAACCCATGCTTGCTGCTGGGACCTGGAACAGTGAGTTGGGGTTTATAGCAGTGTAATATTTACAGCCGTATCGAGGTGGGGGAACACCAAGCAGGGCTTCACACATTCACGGTTCAAACCATCTTCCCGAGGCAAGAGCGTTAACTGACTTTACAAGTCCAGTTTCCACCCTTGCCGAACTAGGATGGAATTCCTGGGCTCGGTCGTAGCGCCACCAGTGGTTATTACGAGTCCCATATGGACCAATCAGATTCCACCTCTCGTATCACATGCATTTGCTTCAAACAAAATGGTGGCCCCCAGTCAAGACGATCTGATCGACCATCAAGATCTATTTTGTGATAAAATGATTCTTACATCAAATCACGTGAGCACCTTGATTAAAAACATGAAAAGATTTGGAAAATAACTGTTGACAACGAGTTGGCGATGCACATGCTTTGCAAATCCTGCAATCGACCGAACTCTGCATGACAGTTTACAAACCGGATTTTGATTTCGGTGCACGTTTTTGATTGGACTATGCATAGACTCGTTAGTCCAGCCAAAATATAACTCCATATTCCCAGCCTAGTTCGGCAAGGGTGGAAACTGGACTTTTGTGGTATAATGAACATTGATCCATGCAATTGGGATCGATGACATGCATTAACCAAGTCAGTGAGCCTGACCACCCGGTCCTGTTAGTCGCCTTTTACGACAAGCAAAGTCGCCTTTAAGGCAAGCATGGGTGACTGAAGACCTATTCTACCCCGGATCTTCACAGGTCTGCAAAAATGAGTGACAGTCACAGTGATCTTCAATACAGTAGAACATGGATACATTGTATAACGTTTTTTTTCTTCAGTTTTTTTTGCTTGGAAACGTCCAGCATCTTGGATAAAACAAAACACAATGCACCTAATTGCAGCATTGACTTGTATTAGCAGTGATCTCTTCATAACATTCATTAAATAACATTAAATTGATAACATTTCATAACATTTATTAAATAACATTAAATTGATAACATTTTTGTTTGTTTGATGTTGAACGCGGCACTCAGCAATATTCCAGCTATATGATGGCGGTCTGTAAATAATAGAGTCTGGACCAGACAGTCCAGTGATTGACATCATGAGCATCGATCCACGCATTTGGGATACAATAACATGCATCAACCAAGTCAGCGAGTCTGACGACCCGATCCCGTTAGTGGCCTCTTACAATAACATGTTTAGAACATTGTTTATCAAACATGTATTTAGTATTTCATGACTTACATACGTGAGGTGAGGTGAAATGGGGTTTAACGTCGCGTCCAAGATTATTTCACTTATATAGCGACGTGCATGTATGTGTGTGTGTTTTGTGTGGCTGCTTGTATTAGTCCGGACTGATGCCGATTTATAGTGCTAGCTCACTGAGATACCATGCCACAGTTTAACATGAATACCCCACTCAGACACAGTATACTGAATCCGAGCCGACCAGTCCTTGTTTAAGCCCCTTAATGCCGAGCGCCAGACAGGGTACCAACAAGTACCATCTTTTAACGTCTTTTGGTATGACGCGGCCGGGGATCGAACCCCGGACCTTCCGCTCTCTGGGCGGACGCTCTACCATTAGACCATGGAGGCGGTCGACTTACATACGATTTACATGCTGACTGCAAGTAAGATAAACATTAAACAAATTTGACAGGGTTGAAATGTCACCGCTGATGGTGTTGCTTCGCCGCGATTGTGTTGATTTTTGGTATAGCCAATAATTGTCAGTGACACTTGACACCGAGTGGAAGTTCTCAGTTGGCTATACACGTCACTAATTAGTCCTATTTAGGCTTGTCAATGATCAGATATCAGTTCGCTATACATGTTTATTCACTGTAGAGAGTTCGTTATGTACCTAATTTTAAATTATATTATATAGGAGATAAATTGGGGATTTTGTAACAGTTCGTTGTATCTGTTTGTTCGCTCTATCCATGTTTGCAGCATTAGAAATTGGCACTAGTCCTGTAGTTCTTGCCAAATTACCCAATAGTTAAGATTTCATAAGGACTAGTCATGCTAGTAGAGATTTGCCCTTTTTAAGGGTTTTGGTATTTGTTTATACGGACTAATGGACTGAAAATGTTAGTGTTTACCATGTTCTACTGCTGGTCTGTAATACCTGTGTTCTACTGTATTTGAAAACCTGTCTTGAGAAAGGAAACCAGAGAACTCAGACTCAGACTATTAGTTTGAAGACAACGCTGTCGGTTTGTCCATGTATCAATGTCGGCTAGAACGTAATTTTCCTTCAACTGTAAATGAAATGTCCTTCATTGTATTGGTATATCTAAATGGCATACTTGTCTTCATAAATGGTATATGTAATATAACATTGGCTGTTTTGTCTTGAAAACTTGAACCATGAAGTCAAAGGGACTACCGTACTCGACGTAATAAGCGCCCAGGGCGCTCTCAAAATTAGAAACAGGGGGCGCTTATTAGAATATTATTTTGATGGAAAAAACAGTTGAAAGATAAATTTCGACATATATAAATACGACAGATATATTTTTCCAGAATTTTATTGACCATAATTAAGGGTACATATAACACACGCGTGCGTATTATACACGAATATATAAGTCTTGTGTACATTGATCAATCGGAAGGGGCGCTAAATGGGATTGTTCACTTATATATATTATAATATATATTATCAAATATCGCCGTGGGCGCTTATTAAAGCGGGGCGCTGATTACGTTGAATACGGTATGCCATTTTGAAGGGCCTAAAGATGAATAATCCACTCACACTAACATGGCCATGCCAACAATATGAATAATGGCACAGTTTATAAACACTTCTATCAGTCTGCGAGGAAATATGGGATTAACTGTCCAATCGGCTTACTGCACACTGGGTCTGCCGCAATGACACCCTAAGGCTCGCTTGAAAGAATTTACATAACCAATAATCATTAAAGGATTTAACATGTTTAGAAACAAATAATTTTAAGACAAAATACACTGTATACTAAGGCACATGGTTGGTCAACTCAGTCAAGGAACAGATCATTTTCGTGAAGGAAAATGAGAGTCCAAGACAAAACAACGAAAGAATGTTAGGGCTGGGACGAGTCCAAATTTACTACCCGGGTACCCATCCCCCTACTACCCGACCCTACCCGGGTAACCGCAGTAGGTCTCAAGTTGGGTACAAAATGCTCAGTTGCAAATTGTTTTACCAGAGCCCTGGCAAAAAAGCATTTAGATATAGTATAAAACGATCTTATCGTGCATACACTGAAGTTGACTGAAGCCTTCGCTTTGCTCAAACACATAAATTCAGAAGGAAATGTGCGAATTGTCAGCAACAAATGCGAACATTAGGGACTCGAACTTGTGTAACCATGGAATTTTATTATTATTGTCATTAAACAATATATCACAATCCGGGTCCTACTCAGAACCCACCCGACCAGAGTACTCGGGTTACCCGTCCCCGCCCTAAAGAATGTTCACATCATTCCTTAATTTATTATAAGGTTCAAACAAGGGGACATGTTAGTGTTATATAAATGGTTTGTTGAACAGTGTTCAATTTTGTTCTGGATTTGATATGTATAAGACATATTAGTATTTAAAACTATGATTGCCAAAGCTAATAAAGTATTTGGGTTTTTAAAAAACAAAAATATTAGTATGCCAACCCCCAACCCCCATTATAAAAATCCTGGATCGCCCCTGTTAAATAACTTCAATCATAAATTCAGGGGAGACAGAAATAATTAAATTAATAAAATAAAATAATGCAATTGTCATTATTATTTATCAAATAAAAAGCTTCCAAATCAACTAAAAAAGAAAACAGGGTTGAACACGACATTCATATTACCTGCTTGACCAACTTATAAAAAAATAAATTATCACATGGAATTACCTCCCTTTACACATCACTATCTATTGCCGAAACGGCCCTCTGCATTACCATTTGATAATCATCCATTCATTAAATTTGCCACTTCCGTCTGATATCATGCAGCAACTTACGTATTACCAATGATATGTTGACAATGCACTAAATGTGATAAAAGAACACGTGTCAGTTACAAGCGGCAACGTGTTCATGAAGAGACCATTTCACCAAAAGGGGACCCCCTCCTGTTTGACGAATGCTATGGGTTTGTTGTCACTTCACCTCTCACTGGCGTGTTAACAGGAATCATACCATTGCAAAACGAATAAACGTGGCAGCTAATAATGTCAAATAGATAAAACTCACCTCAGACTTGTTGAAATAGTAATATGCAATTTCGATCTTTGCAGGGGGAAGTATTTTTTTGTTTACTCAGTGCCCACGCGAAGTGAACAGGTTTCTTGGCTCGAGAAACTTCGCGTCTCGCCGTGGCTAACCGCGCCTCAGTGCCCACGTGGAACAAGGGAAGCAACTCGTGGAAGCGTGTATACTTTTACTAAACCTTTTAGTAAACTGGTGCGCGAAAGATGCATGGAGGCGGTGCTATTTCTAATTTACTGGGTCAGTCCAAGAAAATACACTCATTGCGCTTTTGGTACATATAGCTAATGATTTGTCAACTAAAATCAGTTGGCATGCCAAAAACTCGTGCATATGCTCACTTCTAATAGGATGATGATAAACTGCACATCTGGCGAGTCAATACTGGTTAAACGAGTAGGTGTTATAAATAGAACTAAATATTCCACGTCATTGCATAATGTAAATGTACATAATCCTCTACTGCTCACGTGTCGTCGCTGATGACCAGTTGAAGAGCTTAGAGTTAAAAGGGGCCAAAATGCACTTTGGCCCTTATTGCATATTATTGCATAAATAACATCTATCAGTTCTTGTCTACCTGAAAAAAAAAAATTGTATGTTTTCAATGATGCGTTTTTGAAATATGACTACTTAAAATTCTATAAAGGGCCAAAGTCAAGTTCCGAAAGGGCCAAAGTCACTTTGCTAGATTGTGGCCCTTTTAGCTCTCATTTTCGTGTGTGGTTAAGACTGGTTGCCTGAGAGAGATTTTGAAAATTTGGACACCTTATTATTGTATTTCAACTATTTTAACAAAGTTGGCATTAGTTTAAATCATTTAAAAAGGACTTCAATAGTATGTGTTTGTACTTTCAGTAGTAGTTTATCAATCTCACATGTTAAATCCCTGCAAATGCCTGAGGGTAAAAAAGGGCCAAAATACAGACATTGGTTCTTTCCAACCTTACACAAATTAAAAACGTGAGTTTATTTCCTTTTTTGAATGTTTTTTAACAACATTTATATCTCTGATGTCAGAATGCGTTAATGTCTAGGAATTTATCGGTAAGAAAAAAGATGCATGATATTATGTGTTTTCATCACTTTTCTCAAAACAGGCTCCACATGACATTGACCCTTATGGCTCTAAGCTCTTCAGTTTATAATTCTTGGTTTGTTTGTTTGTTTGTTTCTTGTTGAACGCCGCAATAGTCCAGCTATATGACGGCGGTCTGCAAATAATCGAGTCTGGACCAGACTATCCAGTGATTGACATCATGAGCATCGATCCACGCAATAATTCTTGGTTCTTTCTTGACGCCCTTTAGATGTTGAAGTATGAAACCCATAAGTCTGTGTCACAGTCCAAATTGTTTTTAAATATAACTTTGTATTCAGGGATAAATTGTGTATATATCATCTTGGTCTCGTCGCTGTATTGCTGAAATAATGCTGATGCGACGTTAAAGCTTAACCCACTAACTTACAGTCTCTGAACCATTTTTTGTTCACTTCCACCAAGCTCTTCGTGAAATGCAAAAGCCCCAAATGATGCAATTCCTCGGGTCTGAATCTCTCATCTCACTGGAGTTATTATTCTATTTAAATGGAGTTTTATTAGTTTTTATCAAAATAATAAATTTTCATAGACTTTCATGTAATTTAACGTTCTAGTCTAGAAACCGATACAAAAGAGCGGTTATGCTAATGAAATGAAAACTAGTGCAAATACACATATACATTGAAACGGAAAGAGCACATTTAACCTTGATTAAACATGAAGAAATTCATAATACTAAACATTTCACAAAACAGTTAAACAATACATGCACGAACCAAACTTTAATTGTTTGTTTGTTTTGTTTGTTGTTTAGTCCAGCTATATGACGGCGGTCTGTAAATAATCAAGTCTGGACCAAACAATACCGTGATTGACATCATGAGCATCGATCCACGCAAATGGGATAAGATGACATGCATCAACCAAGTCAGTGAGTCTGGCCACCCGTTCTCGTTAGTCGCCTCTTACGACAAGCATAGTCACCTTTTACGGCAAGCATGGGTTGCTGAAGACATAATCTAACCAGAGACCATATAATGGTCTATTATATGGTCTCTGTTCTAACCCGAATCTTCACGGGTCCCAAACGTCATAATCACTGTGTCTTTTTTTTTTTTATCCCCCGGCATATAATGCGGGTGGATATAGCTATGGGCATGTCTGTCCGTCCGTCTGACTGAATCGTTTCCGGAGCAGAACTCGAAAACCTTTAAATATTTCTTCATCAAACATTGCATTTACATCACTTAATTGGTGAAGTTGTGCCTTTTGAAATTTAGAAATTTTAGAAATTTTCTCTTTTTACGTTTCCATGGCAACAAGATAAACTTAGGTTCTGTGAGGATAGGGTTCGTTTCCTGAGCATAACTCATAAACCGTTCAATATTTCTTCATGAAACTTTGCAGGTTTGTCAGGTACGTGCTGAACTGGTGCCTTTTGCTATTTAGAAATTTTAGAAACTTTTATTTTTTACGTTTCCATGGCAACAAGATGGACTTAGGTTCTGTGAGGGATGGATTCGTTTCCGGAGAATAACTCATAAACCGTTCAATATTTTTATCCTTTGCATTTATATCACTCATGTGGTGAAGTTGTGCCTTTTGCTATTTTGCATTTTTTTCATCTCAAATTTTCATGTAAACATGTTGGACAAAGGCTCACAATGTGAGTGTTTTTAGTTTCCGAAGCAGAACTCAAAAACTGTTGAATATTTCTCCATGTTACTTTTCATAGGTTTAAACTACATACTGAACTGGTGCCATTTGCTATTTAAGGATTTAAATTTGTGTCTGTTTTCAGTCTCCACGGAAGCAAATTCGACTTAGGATGGGGTTCATTTCTTGAACAGAACTGAGAAACTGTGTGATAGTTCTCCACAAAACTTTGCACAAGCATCATCTAGTTTGCATAAAAAACCCCCACAGAAACACACTTGTTTTACTTTCCATTTCATATGGATGCGACCTCGGTGGATCTTTTGTGGGTGAACAGTGTATGCTTCTTCAAGAACATTCAACTCTTGACTCATTACATACAGAATTGCACATTTACTTATGGTTACTTTACAGACAGCTGCCGGGGGGATATGTCATCTTTCTGATGACTCTTGTTTAAACAATTTAAAAAAGAGAGCAAAGTTTCTGACAGATCTAGGCCAGAAGAGTTGTACTTGTATGTAACTGACACTGCTCCCTAGCATTATCCACAACGTAAACAACAAGAGATAACAATATCGGGAATAATAGTATTGTCAAAATATTATGTAGTTGGAATTATTTTTTTTATTGTGTATTTGGTGATGACATTTATGTACTTATCTAACTACATACAAATTGTTAAACGAGTCCCTGTTAAGTATCGTCTTTATTGCGACCAATGTCATTCAAAACGTATCAAACGAGCGAAATTGGAACATAAACATTTGCTTACGAGGGCGAGCGTAATAATCCCTTTATCATATATTTATGTTCAGCACAATATCGAAATTAAGTTAACGTTGAAAAAGACTCGTCGCTGGCAAAAGGTTGGCGTGTAAATAATACATAGGATGCTGAAGATGCGACATTTCTCTCAATGAGCAGCCTGGCAATAAAGTGCGCAGCTTTCTCCGAGATCGATCATAAGAAAACATGCATGCAGATTATAACTAAATTTTTAAGTGTCTCGTTGTGCAGAGTTGCGTCCCTTGGGCACGCCAGAAACCTATGATCATGGGTTCGAATCCCGGTTCTCGTCCCGATTATGTTTCTAGGTTTGTCAGCATCATACCCGTGCTCGTGGGTTTCACCGAAGTGGTAAATGTCTGAGACCCGCATCACTTTGGGTTTTCCTCCCACATTAAGCTGAAACGCCGTGATATAACTGGAATACTGTTCATTCGGACATAAATTCGACAGATTCATAACTGACAACCCGAGTTGCCTAGCATCTACTGTCAGACTTAGCTACCTGTTGTAATATGTACCCAATTCGTTCACAATTATCCTGCAACTATTACTAGCAAATTAATGTCTCTTACAATTTTGAATATTTAAAGTTTTTTTCTCCTTTGAGTTTTGAAGAGTCTATTATAGCCTTGCATCGCATTTGTTGGATATATTTGTTTTCAGGGCCTGTATGACAGATTGAGGGTTTAGGTGCGTGTTTTTGTAGCGGCCAAAAATTTCCGAATACCGTGATGGGATTCGTACCACGGACCTCTTGATCAGAAGTCGGACACCTTGTCCGTATGACCAAAGAGGTTAACCCCGTCAGCAAACTGACAAGATAAGGATGTCATCTGTGGGACGACTCCACGCACTGCTACATACTTCCCCGTCAACAGAAGGCATGTCCCGAGCCGCTTAGTAGGGTACAGAGACTTTTGTTGCTCAAATTTAATATGAGCGTGCTCCGCCGCCAAAGTAGCGGCCATAAAATTTCCTAATCAACAGCTATTGTTGAAGACCAGATGATAAGGTGTTCATTGGATCAACTGAAACGTTCTCAAACCTTCTGGTAATAAAGAGTGTTGCAGGCAGAGCGTTTTCAGCATTGTCAAGAAAGGTTCGTGCAAAGTTGCGTTTTGGTGAATGTATTCATGTGCAATAGAACGTAATTCATCTTATAATCTTACATCACTTCAGTTAAATGATACGCCCATCGAACAACTTCGAGTTTCTTTAAGAGGTGAGTATATAAGTGCGAACATATATTGCGAGATGCTTTGAAATATTTACATATGGCTTGTATTACCATACTCACTCTGTCAGTAATGCTCCGAGACTCACAATCATCATCCTTCCAATATAACTCGCCTCTGAGTTGTGGCATGAGAAGCACGATGGTACATGGACTGTTCACTGGTTTTAATTATCTATTCTTTGTGACTTTACTGCCTCTACACCGAACTATTTGTGGTACAGTTCGTACGACTTCAAACGTTACCAACTTGGGCTTAGTTCAAAAGGAAGCCAAATTACCCTATTCAACTGAACTGTGCCTTACCACAAATGGACTCATGACCTGTGCATGCAGCTGTATCTTGACAGATGTCTGTGCGTCCTTCAATTTCCGGAATAACGATGGTCAGTGTGAGATTAATTCAAATTCATCTACCTTTGAACTGCACCATGTTCCTGGTTACATGCACTCAACAATCTCAAAGTGGCCAGGGGGCGGTCTGGTAGCCTAGTGGTTAAAGCGTTAGCTCGTCAGGGCGAAGACCCGGGTTCGATTCCCGACATGGGTACAATGTGTGAAACCCATATCTGGTGTCCCCCGCCGTGATATTGCTGGAATATTGGTAAAAGCGGCGTAAAA